GTTTCCATCGTAACGCAAGCCTTTATATCATATTTGCATTGCCTAGAAATTCGTCACCATCTCAAACGATCCAAATTCATTAAATAAAATATATATTTCAAATGTAGACGACGTTCCAGATGCAATGACACTGTCCATTTGTCTATCTAAAATCATTTGGGTGACATCGAGGTCCAAATTCCTCGATATGCGTGTTATTATCTTGGGGTCTGTGTCACCATTACGATTGATCCCAATTAATCACAAAAGATATATATTTTGAATGTCGAGCATGTTCCGGACGCAATGGCATAGTCTGTTTCATGATCGGACATCATCTAAGCGACGTCGAGGCCTGATTTTCTCGAAATACGCATTGTCTCGAAATTCATATCACTCGTTAGGATGATCCAAATTGAACAAATAAAATATAGTTTTTGAGTATTTGCAATGTTTTGAACACAATGGCGAAGTCCGTTTGTTAATCCTACATCGTTTGATCAGCCTCACACTTTAATTTCGGGTGTCGGTCGTCTCTTTTGACCAATCTCATCTGATTCAATTACGAGGGGCTCCAACCTAGCAGAATTCAGTGTCCTGATTGCAAAGATACCATCCATTTGGCATTCAGAGGGTATTTGGCCCTTAAGTGATGAATTTTGTCAATGCACGCATTGCGTAAATGATCATTTTTGCCTCTTTTCACATGGTTTATATGTAGGGGTCAACACTGGCTTGCATACATGTTAATCATTGGGTTTATCAAGATGCTAAGCTTGTGAAAAATGGAATGGTTAATGATAACCTTTTTGGCATTCTGTTTTTTCCTTTGCCATATTTTGGAGTTTCAACATCAAAATTGTCCTTTGCCATATTTTGGACCTTCTCCTGGCCGACGACCACCGCCAGACTTCAGCCCGACCTTCGTCTGACCACCGCCCGGTCGTTGACCGCCGCAGAACTTCAGCTCGACCTTCGTCGGATCACCACCGATCGCCTCCGAACTTCTACCTAGTAGCCGAGCGACGTCGTACATTCAACCGACTTTTCTAGGATCTTTCCTAGTCAATTGAACTTCTACCCGGACGCCATCGGACTGTTGCCCGACAGCTGCCAGACCTTGGCCTAACTCTCCAAACTAATGTAATTTGAACACTCCTAAGTCAAGGGACGAGTCAATATTTGTAATTCACTCAAATTTAGTGGAATCTTTTCATCTGGGCGAGGCCCCGTGGTTTTTTTCCTCTTTGATCTTTCCACATAAAAAAAGATTGAGTGTTTTACTTCTCTTTTTCTGTTTGTGTGTTGGATATCTGGGCTTTGTGTGTTGGATATCTGTGCATTGCTAAGACGAGAAATTTATTCACTATACTGCCGCGAATATCCTATCCCGCAATAGTTTGGCGTCGTCTGTAGGAACCGACAGTCCCATAATATTAACCATTACTTCAATGGCCAACAGGCGTAGCAATCGCCACCAGAGAGCCTCTCGCTCCAACTCTCACATGTCCAGGAATCAGTCCCTGAATCAAGGACGTCAGGCATCTACTTCTTTTCACCCTGGTGGTCAGAACCCTGCTGGAGAAGGGACATCACGACCATCTATGGAAGACTGCATCCGAAAAATGGAGGAATCTCAGAAGGAGATCCTTCAACTCCTGCGAGGGGCCCGACAACTAATGCTAGCAGAGCAGGAGGAGGTTTGTCTTCCTCAAGATCCATCACTAGCCAGGGGTGTTCAACCCGAACATGTTCAGGCAAACATCACTATCCCTCAATCAAGGGGTCGTCCTAAAACACAACAAAATGTTGACCTTGCCGACACCGCTAGCTCTACCCATCCTTTTTGCCCCAGTCAGTTAGTCCGCATTTCGTCGGACATCCCTGAGGACATGGTCCAGCCTCGCATTGCTGACCTCTCGCATAATGTCTTACGCCATGAACTAAGGCACTTGGTCCAAGAAGAGTTCCCCAGAAGGGTGGAAATAATCTCTCAATAAGTGGGACTTCCAGGAGACCTCACCACTAACAGAAGGCATCCTTCAACATCCCATTCCTGCAGGGTTCAAACTACCGAGCATTGATTCTTATGACGGGACGTCTGACCCCTATGAGCACATCGATCACTATAGAACTATTATGCATATTCAGAGAGTCTCAGATGCGCTCCTCTGTCAAGTATTTCTTGCTACCCTCAAAGGGCAAGCTCGTACGTGGTTCTAGTCACTCCCGGCTAGGACTATTCCTTCATTTGTCAAGTTAGTCAAATTGTTTGTCGAACAATTTGTCACTAATCGAAGAATTATTAAGGACTCTTTCCATCTCTTTGGGATCCGCCAGAATGAAGGAGAATCACTCAAATAATACTTCCAAAGGTTCTCTGTCGAAGCTCGACAAATTGCAGGGGTGGATCCTGAGTTGCTAAGAGGAGTTTTCCTTGGAGGGCTTCGTCCTGACCCTTTTTACTCAGCACTCATGGGAGATACGATATATTCATATGATGACCTAATTCATCGTGTGGAGGCTCAAATCTTAGCAGATGAAGCCATCAATGCTCATAAGAAATAATTTGAGCAAACAATTGGAAAGCGTAAGAATGCACCAGGGATGGGTGATTCATCATCACAGCGGAAGAAGCGAGGAGGTAATAACTTGCCCCCTCGACCTTCACAGTCTCGACGGGAGCCTCGAACAGAGAAAGAGTATACGCCTCTTAATAAATCTCGAGCAAATGTCTTAATGGCCATCCGAGATGAAGAGAGTGTTAAGTGGCCAAATCCCTTAAAGACAAACTTGAAAAATCAAGAGCAACAACTGCCACTTACACCGTAGTCGTGGACACACAACTGAAGCATGCAAACAACTTAAAGAGGAAATCGAGAGACTAATCCGACAAGGCTACCTTAGTCGGTTCAAAGAAAACCCACCTGGTCGTAAGGAGACTCCTGCTGGGGGGCAACTGTCACAAAGACAGCTACAAAACAATCGCCAAATGGTTGGAGAGATCGAGACCATCGCTGGGGGTCCGTTATTATCCAACCAAGTTTTACTTGCAGTGAACGAGGAGCCAGCACAAAAGAAGGTTCGTGCTGACCATTGTATTACATTTGATGATGTCGATCTAGAGGGCATTCATACCCCTCATCAAGATCCACTTGTAATTAACGCGGGGATTGACGATCCATGCTTCAATATCAAAAGAATCTTAGTTGATAATGGGAGCTTAGTGGATGTCTTATTCTACTCCACCTTTCTTAGTATGGGCCTGGTTAGGGAAAAGCTTCAGCCAGCTGCAGGACCATTATATGGGTTTGATAACTGACCTATACAGATAGAAGGGACGATTAGCCTCCCAGTGACACTTGGGGAATTTCCTCGGCAGGCTACTCATCCAATGCAATTCATTATAGTAAAATCAGAATCAGCTTATAACGCTATCTTCGGGAGACCACTACAATCAATTTTTGGAGCTATTCCCTCCATTCCATATCTCAAGATGAAGTTTTTAACCCCACATGGGATTGGTATGGTGCGTGGAAATCAACAAATAACACAATCATGTTATTTGAGGCAGGCTCAACCACGCCCATCAGTTTCTCTAAGTATTGAAAATTTTGACCTTCGAAATGAGGACGTCCCTCAAAGGGCTTCCCCTGTCGAAGACCTTATATATATCTCCATATCAGACGAGCACCCATCCAAAATAGTGCAGGTCAGATCCATGCTCTCAGAGGAAGAGAAGAGAGAATACGTGGATTTACAAATAATGATCTACAAATAGTACATGTCACAAACAATATAAAGAAGAACATAAGAAGTTATGACTATCAAAATCTAATCAGGCATATCTATACAAACTCAAATCTTGGAAATCGATAACTTTTCTTTATTCAGATTGCCCCTTCCCGTTATCTTGACTTGAACAGTTATAAAAAGCAGGTATGAGCATACATAGCTCTGTAGGTCACATTAAACCTACCCAAGTCTTTAGTAATAAAATTTATATTAATGAAGTAAAACATGTTAAAAAACATTAATCCGCACAGAAGGTCAATCAGGTTGATCTTAATAAATAGACATTTATAGAATAACACACAATAACTCCAATGCACTAATGACATCCATTTCTCAAATTAGAACATTTTCCTCAGGTCCTTATATCTCCCAATAAATATCAAATTTTAAAATTTATGTCTTTATAACTCTTTATACTAGCATATCAGATAATAGACCTTTATAACTCATAATGTTTAACACCACAGACATTTAGAGATTTCAGGTCCTTAGGAAATTTACCCTATAGGAAACCAAAACTCAGATAAAAAAGTCCTCGCAAAATGAGGGCGAAATCTTTTGATAGTGTCTTATTTGAAACCCAATCTGACTTCTAAAAATCTACCCCATAACTTAATATTTTAAAACTCCTACCGAAAGCAGGGGAGTTCGGGGTGCGAATTTTTGGTGCCCACAGCACTCTAGATGGAGATAAGAAGTGCTGGTAATTTGGAGCTGATCTTTTGTTTGTGTTTTTTGTATCCCCTTCCTAAATCTTCATCAGGGATGACCTAAAGACCCTAAGACGCTTCCGTGATTAAGTAATTGAGTGGCTGGATATGTATCTTTTGATTACTGGATGCTTATTCATAGTAGTCTATTTACATTTCAGTAAGAATAATGTAGATCGGTGGATGCACATGTATTTGCTATTTATGGATTTCATGCAATTATGCATGTCAGAAGTGCTTTATACATCATGCCTTTCTATACCGTAAGGCTAGTTTTATTGTCTCATGTCCTTGCTTCGTAGCTTCTCTTTTAATTGACGCTCATAGAACCGCGTATTTTGCTAATTTTTGTTGTAGAGCTATTTTTGGCAGATAAATATTTCAATTAGAGTCATCTAAAGATTTGGTTTTCTATATCGTTCATTGTCCCTATTCTGTCAGCAGCATTTGAATTATTTTCTATATTCAATTGTATAGAAGATGTTTGTTTAATGAGGGGTTCCTATTTCTTTGCAGTTATATCCGTATGTATAAAGATGTTAGAGCTGCAGTAGACATGTGCCATCGTGATGGAACTTTAAAACGAATGGTTGCACAAAATCCTGGGAAGTAAGCAATAAATAGTTTCAACGCTTTACCCATTAAATACATTTGGATTGAATAAATCTACCACCCATGTATGATTTTTTTGGTTTTATTTAGCTAATTTTTATCTTATAATCTATTTAAAATTTGTTTCAGAACTGTCAACCTCAATTGACGAAATTTGCATATTCTTCTACTTATTATGTCACAATTGCTGCAACTTATGATCTCAATCAGACATTTCTTACTACATTTATCATTGTTAACTAATTTGATGCGGATTTTCTTTAGCTAAAACTTTTTCTTAGCATTTACACTACAGATACCTGACTATGCAAACCTTATAATAGTGTTACATTATTGGCACAAGGAACTGGTTGGTTTGGTCAATGAGTTAAGTGATAGGAAGTGGATGCAATTTCCTCGAAATCAGCGAACGATAATAAAAAATTAGAAAAAAACACACCAAAATTATTTTTATTAGAAGGTATATGAAAGAAAATAGCAAGATACAGTTGGATCTTCAATTGGAGAGGAAGATCCGGCTCTCCCAAATCCCTAGCCGCCGGCTAGAGTCCAAATAACTTAAGAATAAACTATATTCAACAAACTCCCAAAACCTTTGAAATCACCTTATTGTAAGCCTTAAATAGGCTCCATAATTCCATCTCAAATCAGCCCCCTTTTCCTAAATAATTCCCTTTAAAATTTGAATTCAAATTAGATTTTTTTCCCTAATTAATTCCCTCCCAATTGTAATTAAAACTTTCCTAAATAATCCCCCCCTTAATTCCTTCTCCTTTTTCCTAAATAATTCTCTCTTAGATTTTGAATTCAAATTAGATCTCTTGCTTAAATAATTCACTCCCAATTGTAATTTAAATATTCATAAATAATTTCCCTTTGATTAAGAACATTCCTAAAAAGCTCCCTCTTGATTAGGAAACTTCTTGATTCCCTCTCAATCAAATCGGCCGTCCATTAATACTCCCCTTCCAAAGTGCCACCTTATCCTCAAGGTGAAACGAAGGGAACTGCTATTGAAACACTGGACTGAAAAATGGATTGACTCTGGGTCGAATGATCCCTTTCTCTAGCATCTCCCTAATCAATCTCTCGATCTCATCCTTCTGGATTTGGGGATGACGGTACAGACGTACACTGATAGGTCAGACTCCTTCCTTCAAGATGATAGCATGCTCACATTCCTATGGAGGTTGCAACCTCTGAACTAGCTGGAACACCTCTCGATACTACTGTAGGAGTGGCTAAACCATTTTTGGTGCTTCTATCTTCTCCCAATCTTCTTCTCCTTCCAAACTTTTCAGCTCCATAAAAAAATCTCACTCATTCACCCATTCCCCTCCTTTGGAAGTGGCTCCAAAGATGACATCTCTCTTCTTCCCCCCAAAACTTCTACTTCCTGATCCTCCCTCATCATCCCTATATTAGGGTTTTCCCCACTTCCCAGTCCAATCAACGGTGCTCTCGTCTCCGATATTGTTAGTTGGGTTTGAAGCTCTAATAATTTCCTTATCATTCATTCTAGGTTGGAAAAATTTTCCTCCATTGATGTCATTCTATTCTCAAACGCCAATTTGAATTGGCCAACTTTTCCTTTAAGACGCTTTTCCAAGCCATCAACTTTCTTTGCAGTCATAGGTCCCATAAAAGTGCTCTGATACTTTGATTCGAAGTGGATGCCATTTCCTTGAAATCAGCAAATGATAATAAGAAATTAGGAAGAGAAACACACCAAAACTATAATATAATATTAAACTTATTTTTTATATAATATTAGTTAAATATTATTTTAAATATTAGTAATTTAATTTATTAAATAATTTAACTAATTTAATAAATATGATAACTATTATCAAAATTTATGATTAATTTTATCAAAGTTTTTTTTTGGAAAATATTATAACTATGATCAAATTTTTATCAAAATTTTTATAAAATTAATAGTTATAAGATTTTCCCAAAAAATTTAATGTTTCTCTCTCCCGTCTCTCTCTCTCCCTCCCTCCCCATTTCTCTCTCTCTCTCTCTCTCTCTTTCTCTCCTCTATCCCTTCCCATCTCTCTCTCCCCGTTTCACTCTCTCGCTCCCGGTTTCTCGCTCTCTTCCTCTCTTTCAATCTCTCTCTATCTCCCCATAAGTTGAATACGCCAAATGATTTGGGGCATTCAAAATGCTCCAAATCATTTGACGATTCTGCTCCTTTTTAAACTCATATAAAGCTTCTTGCTTGCTTTCCCATAAATCCACTTTTAAATCAATTTAATGGCAATTTAAAATAAATGATGTAGTGTTACGTTTAAGTTTACCTTCTTGAGCACCTCAAGATGAAGAGGTTGGAGGAAGATCAAGCCTTATATCTTCTTCTTCCTCGCATGGCCTTTATCATAGCAGTGGTTTGCCTTCCCCCTCTCTATAGTTTAATCCGACTAACCTCTAGCTGCTTGTAATCCCTTTTAATCCCTTTCTCTCCCTCTTACTCATTTTTCTTCTATGATTTGATCTCTCAATGTCAATTACCCTCTTGTCCTTTCAGTCTATCTCTCTCAAGTCTTGGACAAACTGTGCTTGAATCCTCTCTGCTGCTTTATTTGGTTCTCCCCTTCTCGTCTATATCTAATTATATGTATAAATAGTATTATAAATTATTTTATATATTATTTATATGATATATTTTTTGTAGAAAATTTAGGTCATAAACGTGATGGAATTTCTACCAAAATTTTATCACATTCGAAATAATTATGTTGTTCATCATTATTCATTTATTAGCAATCAATTTTCAGAAAATGTTCATTGAAGTTCAATTTATTCAAATGAATTTGATCATTAACCTTAAATATCTGTTACTGCTTCTTAGGTATTTTAATGACATAAAAAAAAGAAAAAAAAAATACAAGTCTTTAAAAAAAAATTAAAAAAAATAATAAAAAAAAATGACATAAGGGCTCTCAATTATCTTTACAGACATTTTAAAAATTACGAAAATTAGTTTGATTAATTGAGCTTATTTAGCTTAATCATATTTAGTCATTATATACCTTCATTCATATCATTCTTTGTAGAATTTTGAGCATTCTACATTCATTTAAGTACCAACCACTCAAAATTACATCCTTAGCAATGTCAATTAATTATTTTTTCTTGAATTATTCAACAAGGTATATTAATGAAGATCTATCAATTGTGCCTATGATTAAAATGCTTCGAGAATCTGGGCGTTCTGTATTCTTGGTAACCAACAGGTACATTCTTCTCTTGCTATGGTTCATTTCATTCAATTTATCTCTATTAGGTCTTTTTCTCATTCTATTTGTAAGCCGTTCTAGGTAAACCCTGAAGAAAACAAGTTTTGTTCAGCTGGGCTTAGCTGGTTATTATATTTTTGATGAGTGCAACGTTTACATAATCGTATACTGAAATCAATAGACAGAATTGCAATATTTCTTTGCAAGCATATATATCCGGACATGTAAATAAATTGGGTGCATTTTAAAATGCTCATGGGTGCTTATGTAAATATAGAAGCACGCCTCTGAATTGATTCGCTTGTAATTATGGGCATATTTTCAGGTGCACCTCTGCAAGAACTGATAAATTGCTTGCAAGAAATAACATGAAGAAACGATAATCATAAGTATCCTAAGAATGTAAGAGCATCCTGACAAAGTCCTACTCGTAGTAGGTTTCTAGGACATCCATCTTAGGTGTATTTCTTCATATGCCAAGTGCATCCTAGCCTTGCTATATACTTACTGAGAAGTATCTACCTATTCTTGGTAAGATTTTCGAAACATAAAAAAAATATTGCATGCCCTGACAAGTATTCTTACATTTCAAAGCATCCAAGTGTCTCTTCGTACCAAAATTCTTTTGATAGAACTCATAAATCACTAAAACTAATTGTGCAGTAGTTTTGCCTGGATGGATAATAACCAAGCATATCTCGAGGAAATGCTTCATATTAATATTTGAAAGTGATATACATATGTATGAGCAACATTACTTTGATAAAATTGCGTACAACTTTCTGTTGTAGTTAACATGGACAGGGGATGGGGTATTTTGTATAGATATTTATACTTACTTCCAAGAGTTTTAGCTCATCATCATTAGCCCATTCCAACTATTTGGGTTCAGTTCCAACAGGATTAACATGAATCTATTAATGGTGCAAAACTTTTTGGTAGGAATGTTGCAGGTGTATTCAGTATCAATTTTCCCTTTTGATTCGTAGTCTAATTACATGTTTATAGAGAGCGAGGTGCTACTTTGATTCAAAGCATGAACTTCATATTCATATGCACTAATTTTTTTCCTGAAACTTACGCACTAATTTTTATCAGCAAAATGTGCTTTGCACCTAGTTTTGCTTTAACGTATTCCAGTTGCAGCACGTTTTTGTGGGAACGTTGCAGTTGAATTCAGTGATAAGTTTTCTTTGTCCTTTATAATTTGCATATTTGTATTGAATGAAATATCTCTTTGATCCAAACCATGGACTGAGTGCTAAATAAATTGAATACTTCTTCTTTCAATGGTTTCTTTGATTTTGTTGCTCCATCTCCTAGTTTGCAAATTGCAGCTTGTGGGACTATACAAATGTTGTCATGAATTTTCTCTGTGGGACCTACAACATGGAAGTTGGCTTGCCTTGCAAATTTGACTGGATAGAAAAATTTGATCTGGTTATCACGGGCAGGTGCGTCTCTTTCTTGACAATTTTGATACCAGCATGCATGCGTTAATATTTATGACGCACAAAGCACTTTTAGATGACCATTTGTCATGCCAAAGATGCTCGGACATCATAGGACGCCATACTGGACTCACCATGTGGTCTTATCCTGTTTCTTCTTGTTCCTTAAAAAATCCAGCTATTTTCAATCAAATATGGAGACAACATGAATATATGTTGGAGACAGTAACAAAACTTTGTCAATCTTACTTTATTCTATGCAAAACAAAACTTATTTAGATTCCTAGTCTCATTCTTCCTTTTTTAATGCTCTATTAATATCGTTGCCACCTGATATTTCTAAATTTTGTGATTTACAAGATTGGTCACAATTTTTTTTTGGAGATTATAATACTGATTTTTTTTTATTCACACACACATAATTCTTTTCTCTATTCCTGTTGTGTCCTGAACTTTCTCAAGGCTATCCATGCTTAAATCTTTTTATTGTAGATGAGTTTTGTCTTCATATTTGATTTGTTTCATCTAAACTTAACACTAGCTATGGCGTTTTTCTTTATGTCATGTTCGTATCATTGGCTCGGGATTTTTATGTTTATCTGCAGTTTTATATTTGGATAGGATAAGTTTGAAACATAAGAGGTGGGGCAATTGTGCAAATTGTTTTACATGTATTTTCATGTTTCCCGTATCTCAGAGTTTACAAGATCTCCTAAAAACAGAAATATTAATATTTTTAGTCTCTTTAAGCATGGCTTTACTCTCATTTAAGCCTGCACCTTATTTGTTCATTTATTGTTAGTTGCGTAGTATCTTTGATTAGAGCCTTGCAGATATCATTTCATTTCTTCTATAATGTTTTTTTCCACCAGAAGTAGTCTTAAATTATCATGATGGAGCTTATTCAATATTTTAGCTGCACAGTTCAAAACCTGGATTTTTCCATGAAGAAAATCGGGCAAACCTATTTCAAGTTGATCCAGAATCTGGCATGCTACAAAATACTGAACTTGGCGTCCCTATCCCTCAGGTCAGTGAAACTCATGCCATATGCTTGCATAAACTTTCTTTTTTGATAATTTAACACATCTGTCTCCGTGCTACTCTTTTCGCGTGCAAAAAGATTGGAACTACCTTGCAAGGCCAAGGATCTTCATCCAAGGAGTTAAAAAGGAATAAAGTTTTTCAGGTATTCATTTTTTATTGCATGTTATCATAAACTGAACTATTCCTAGAGATTATCTCAGTTTTATGAGAGCATTTTCAACTCATTTGCTTGGTTTTGAGCATGGATTTGTTTACTTTGTTAACACCCACTAAAATGCTTACCTTAAAGTCAATGCTCTTGGATCCAAATCTTTCTGTGGATGATGCAGACACAAGTTGCTAAGGTAAGCAGATGGGTAGAAACTTGGGTGAAGATGGAGAGTAAAGAATGAAATGGGAGAATGAAAAGGAAACTAGAAAATGCTTAAAAGATTAGAGCTTTCAGACAGAATTTTCCAGAAGGAAAAGTATCTCCTCTATTGTTTTTCATGATCCCTTATTTATAAGGTCACGGGGCTATAGAAAATACGACAAAGAAAAAGTAAAATGGTACAATGCTATACAATCCACATATGTAGTGCCACAGTACATTCTAGGCACGGGTCGTACCCTTATCGAGTAAGGGATTGCTGAGTTCGAGGAGGTGAATTCATAAGAGGATGAGCCCCATGGTGTCGGTTGGTCTTGTTAGCCAGTGGCCCAGTACAAAACAAGATGGATATAGTGACATGAAACTGACTTGGAGTCGCTAGATAACTACGGCGAATCCTGAGTCATTGTGAGGGAACATGCAAGTGGGATGAGCTAGTTGAGGGATTGAGTGGTAGTTGGTGCTGATAGGGTGAGTCAAGAACCCCAGATAGACACTTTTGTCACACTCTATTTTCATCTTTTTTTGACCATCTTGAGTGTAATAGAAGTGGACAATCTGACTAGATTGAATTTTCTCATACTTATTATGATTAATTCCTCGTGATAGAATGAGTGAAATCAGTCTGACTCGATCATCCCAAAACATACCTAACATTTAATACTCATCTAATACTTTCATCATATACATTGAAATGGAAGCTTATATAACTAAAATCCTTGAGTCGATTACGGAGATACTAATATAATTTCTAAAATAACTATGTATATATGCTAAAGGTCTTTTATTTACATCATCATCATACATAATTGTTACACAATCTGAAATTTATACATCCTAAGGACAAAACACTTTGCCTGCCTCCTATTCATCGTGCCCTTTCCTTTTTCATGATATCATAGAATAGTATCAAATGAGCCATGGGCTCAATGAGATAATCATTTCTAACCTAAAGTCAAATATAAAATGAATGTAAAGAAAATGCTATATTGATCATATGATGTAAAAGAAATAATTATATTTAATTTCGTACAGTATATGTCAATTCATTACATGAATTATGATTCATCAATGCAAATGAGCGCATCAAAAGGAACAATTATAATTGTTATCTAAGTATGAAGTTAACCATGAATTACTCATTTTCATTCTTTTACTTATTCTTGATCATATCATGTTTATGGGCTTCAGCCCTTTATATCATCATTCCTTTTATAATAGTTGGGCTAACCAAATCTTCATTATTAAGGATAACAAATTTTCTTTTTATACTCTTCATAAAGGTTGGGCTAACCAACTCTCAAGTATCAAGAGCTAAAAATTCCCTTTTTATTCATCTTTTCTTGGTAATGGTTGGGCCAACCAACTCTTCGATAAATCAACCCACCTAACTAATATTATATGACCTTCCGTAGGATCCTTAAATTCATTCTCATTGGTTTATTTCTTGACATTGACATATATTTATTTATCATTTCATGATGTGTACATACGTGATGATAAAATATGATATATGCAAAAATGTCATTTGTCATTTAATATTTTTATATTTGAAATCTAATGAAGATTAACTTGGAATCATATAAATTAATGATCATATGACATGCATAAATGCATCTTATGTATTAGATGTTTTAATATACTCGCCAAATGCACATATCCGCAAACAGGACTCTGAACCTCTCGAATAGATGAATCCTGTGGCTACTTTAGTGAAGCTGACTATAACTGACGGTAACTCAACAATCTGGACTACCCTGTCTGCTTAATAGTATCAGCTGCAGGTTATAAGATGTCGCATATATCGTAACTGATACGATCCATGGTGCTATCCAGTGGATTATACTCCCTACATTTCAACATGATGTTACTGGCCCATTCATTAGAATTAAAGGTAATGGAATCTGAAGAGCATATTGGAAGCATAGGAGAGTAGGTGAAAAAACTTTGAAAGACATCATGCCCCCTCAACATGTCTTCATGTTGCTCGAGTCTGTCCCTAATATCAGCCTCCCTCCGGGGATCATGTCTGTCAATAACATCCCCAATATCATTCTCGCTAGGCTCATCAGGAGGCAAATCATCAGATCTATGCCAGTGGAAGATTCTCCTGGATAAAGGATGATGAAAATGCATTAGAGGAAATATAATAAATCTAAATGCATGAAAGAAAAGCTACAAACAAGTCCATCAAATGATGGTTAACCACGTTACAACACATGTGGTATGGTCTAGACGCATACCACATTTGTTGGAGGACATTTGTTGACCCATACACTAACAAGCACAAAAATGACTAAAATTGATGATGAGAGCAATATGATGCGTCACTAAAATGCTCAAATGATCTCTGATCGTCAAACTGATTGCGTCGATGCAATCAGAATGTTGAACTTACCTAAGAGGGAGCCCCTCGTAGTCGAATCAATCGAAGATGTTTAAAATTGATGTTCTGCGCACGAAATGTTACGCGAAACTATCCAAACGACGTCCGATTACAAATCTTTGTTGTGTCTGGAGCATGGAAACTATATAAAAATGATTGTGATATCGCCTAGGGACCTTGCACGAGAAAATTGGCATAAATTTCCAAGGCGACAACACAGAAAATGAAAGGTGCACAAAAATAAAAAAAAAAATAAAAAAGAATATATATATATATATATATTAGCTCTTTGGTTTTGATCTTCCTCACGCGGATCCGTCCTGCATCATGCAAATACAGCTTGGTCCGAAGTCCCTTCATTTCCTCTCACTCCCTGTTCGTGATCCCTAAGCTGCAAACACCCCCAGTCCGCCCCTTTTCACACCATCAAGTTCTCATGCTCTGTTCGTTGCTCCCTTCTTGCACTTTTGATCCCGACCGAGCCGTACGACTAAGCACGCTAATGATAACCCACCCAGCCTCCCGATTATGATCCCCCCTGCACCGTGTCCGACTTCTCGTAGCCGCGAGTTTTTCGTCTCCTGAAGCCAAACCCTAGCCCCGTCGAGCAGCTCCCATCCACGTATGAACTAACCCATGCCCAATTTACCACAGCCGCATGAATCGATCACACACTGATTGACCCCAACTCCTCTCGATTTCCCTAGATTGCATGTAATCTCACGCACAAGCTACTCCTGTTTACGTCCAGACCCACGCGAAACCCAGCCACGGGCTACCTTCAATCCTGATTAACACCAACCTACTCTAATTCTCCCTATTTGAATGAATCACCCACTTCAACTGCCCGTATATCCTTTTGTTCACGCAAGAGGGCACAGGACACGAACCCCATCCAACCTCAAATAATCAAATCCTAGCTCCATGTTGCACAATCTGTCAACCACCCCCCTCACTTCACTACTGAATTGAACCAAATCCCGAACTCGTGCTTCACCCTGCCTACAGTTTAACTCCAACTCTCTTCACCGTATCGAACTCACCAGCTGAATCACCAACAAACTGTCATTTCCTCCTGCTTATTATTATTATTATTATTATTATTATTATTATTATTATCATTATTACTATTATTATTGTTAAACAAAAAAAAGAAGAAAATAATAATTTTAAAAAAAAGGAGCAATCAAAAGATCTGCGCATTTTCTCCATCGTCGTCGCCCCGACATTGTCACTGTCATCGCTCGCGCAAGGTATAACTACCCTAAACTCAAAAAGCTCCCAAAATCCCATTTTCGACGCTCTTGGCAAAATGTTTCATGTGAAGATTATTGCCCCCATAAATTTAAAGTAAAATTCATCTGCCGTTCATAATCATTTGATGAGGGTGATAAATTTGAGAATAATCTTAGGTTATGAAGAGCTAATGTTTTGATGAGTGTATCATTAAGATTCACTCTCAAATTATCTCTCACTAGTAAGGATATGATATGTGTCTTCTAACTAATGATTTCATATCAAAACAATAACATATATAAATGGTTATGATTAGAGCCACATTGCGAGATAGTTTTGCCATAAAATGATACTATTAAATTATGGTCACACCCAGAGCCTGCAAATTTTCTAATGGCAAAAAAACTCTCAAGTAATGAATAATTAGGGTGCACTAGATACGGCACAAAGTCCTATGTTGAATAAGGTTGATCTTAATTTGTCTCCTTGGATAAACATCCACTCTATGCCTATCATGTTTTTTTGGACGAAGTAACACATAGATGCCGACAAGGATTATTCTTTCAAGTTGGGTTTACTATATCCTTTAACTAAGTAGATCAGAAACTTTAACAATCCGGGACAGTAGAACCATGAGATTTTGATCTAGTTCGCCACATTCCCCCCACCATTTATTTTAAATTCATGGTGGTAAATTTTGAACCCATACTAAAATTGTTAAAATTGTTGGTATTAAATACTTAGAATTCAATTTTTGAGGACTAGAATTAATCAAAAGTTCTCTTTCATCATTAGGAGGGGTGGTAATTAACCATAAGTGTTTGTTTATATGGGAAATATGAAACTAGATCATAAAGTACTTGCTAAATGAGATCGAAATCTTTGTACAATATCTTAATTTCATTATAGTCTACCTTTCAAAAGTTAAAATTTTTAGAATTTGTTTTAAGATAATTATATTATAAGTTGAAAAAGTTTTTTTTGTTATGACTATTATAAAAAATTGACTACGAAATAAAATTGAAGATTAATTGATAAATAATATTTTAGCCACTTATATTAAGAAAGAAATATTTGATCGTATTGATGATGAAGTAACTATTAAACTTTTAAAAATATAAGGAGTAGGCATTATAAATTATAAGCTTCTTTCATCTTATATTTTACCTTTTTAAAATAATAATTACAAACAAAAAAAAAATTTTTTTAAGTGCCAATGTTTGCCTCAAGCTTGTATGAAAAAAGTTGAGAGAATATTTGAAAAATAAATTTATGTTTCTGCTAAAAAAATTCATGGTTTTGCCTTTGTGTACTTATATATTAAAGCATCTTTTGCAAATAAATTTTAATGACTATAAGTAGCATATTCACTTACAAAAGCAATTTGCTTTGTGCAAGTAATTGAGTACATTTATTTACTTTTGGTTTAATTTACTTATGTTTTTCGTGAAGCTACTTAATTTTCTTTTAAATTTATTATTTATAATGAAAGAAAATTGCTGCAAGGGAAAATAAAGCTGATTCAAATAAATATATAATGTATAGTAACGGGCAGATGATCAATAATGGGTTGTGACCATGATTCTTGTTAAAAAAAAAAAAACTACAAAAAAAAATCATTTCATTTTTCTTTTTTCCAACCTATACACTGATTTAGAAAGCATTTGTTATTCAACTGTTTCAGGGTGGGAATGTTGCTCATCTTCATAAACTACTCGGGATAGAAGCAAGTTATCAGGTAATTAATGATTTGTTCATAACCTTGCTATTAACTAGATTTTACCTCTACGAAATATGTTGAAGATTTCTATGGCTAGGTTTTAGATTGATGATTTTAGTCATTAGGTATTTAAGCTTTTCTTTCGTAAGCTAGTTTATCACAGTTTAGGGGGCTGATTTTTATTTATTAATTAGCAATGGTTTCTGTAACCTTTTGCATACTTGGTGAATTGAGGCTCCCTCAATGCAGAGTCAGGATTGGGGTTTATGCATGCAACCTTGCCTTCGCAGTGTAGTGATGCTATTTCTATGTTTTGAAACCGTGACTTTGGTAACAATGGAAGCAAGCTAACTATGGCCTCTTCTTTTCTGTTAGAGTTGCATAATCATTTTTTGTAATTTGTCTGAGCCACCCTCTTAAGAAATAAGAATATAGAAGAAATTAACAAAGTTCTGCTCTGAATTTTATTAACTTCCATTGACGCTCTCATGAAATTCCTTCTGTTGGAAATTGTGCAAATATATATGTTTGTACAGTTCCAACAACTGACAAGGTATGCACACGTCATGTTATGTTAGTGCTATGCATGTCCGTTAAGGGTATGCCATATCGTGAAACTGAAAACACAAGAGTGGAAGAGCAGAATCCGTGATTAAAAAAAAAAAAATAGTTAACTTCTGCTGGGCATTGCTTTTTTGAAACCAGTGATATTTCCGACGCTTTGCCTCCTTGATGTAAATGTTTGTCTGTTAAGGGTATGCCATTTTGCAAAACTGAAAACGCAGGAAGAGTGGAAGAGCAAAATTCGTGATAAAAAAATTCAGTTAGCTTCTGCTGGACATTACTTGGTTGAAACCAGTGATATGATTCCTCCACCTTGCTTTCGTTTATTTTAGTTTCTTTGATCCATCAACTTTTGGGCTTAGTTTTTAGTTTGAAGGATAACCAAAGGCACGGTTCAATTTTTTTGGTTAGCCCTGCCCTGCTTGAGTTCAAGTTAAGAAACTCTAGAATGTTTTTGACCGAGGTGTTGAGTTTTTCTTTACGGTCTACTGAACTTGAAGAAGGTTTGGGGTGCAAAGGTGGAAGTATGCCCCTTTTGTCCATATTTGCTCAATACGGTATAATTTAGTAGGTTCTCTGAAGATTACACTAAAACAGTAGCAGTTCTTATCACATAAACTGAATTCATGAGTCTTGTATGAAAATAGTACGTATAATTTGCCATCAACGATTTAAGGATTTCATGAGATAATATGGTGTAATTATTTCATTACTATATTCTTTTAGCGTTACCTAAAAATCTTTCTTTTTGTTCCTGTTTTTCTTTTCTTGGAATTGATTTCCATGGTGTACGATATTGCTTTGACAGAATTGCCCATGCTAAAGACTTCCTTTCGAAATCTTCGAGATTATATGCTATAGTTTTTCCCTGATGCTTGTTGTACTTTGTCTGGATGTTTTTCCTATCCATATGCTTCCTTCTGGTAAGTATATTTTCTTCTATTTTTGTTTGACTTTATGCTTGTTAGGTTTTGAAAGATGTCAAAAATATGGTATTGGGCTCTTGCTGAACATAAAAATGTTTAAATAATGCATTGTGAGGGTTGATTAGCTCTCAGTGGGTTCTGTTTCGGCCTCTTTTACATTCCTTTTTTTTTTCAACCAGACATCCTACGATGAAATAACCCTCCACAACCAAGAAGTTACTATCTCATGAATTATGATGTGGGGACTTGAGTTAGATGATTCTCTGCCCTGAGTTAAGCAAATTAATTTGATGCTAAAAAAGTGGAGTGCCCATTTCCTGCAGGTACAAGATAGCAATCTAATCTATTGTAACCACTATATAAAGGGTACTTCAAGATGATAACTTTTTGTTGAAAAGTCTTAAATGCCACCTCTATCATCATTCTTTTAACTTGTCTCAGATGGACCCAACAAACAAAATCTCCGAACTCTGAAGCCAACAAAATCTTTTTATATTTTGTTAATTGAAAGTGGAGGATCAACTTCTATACTGAGAATGCCAAACAGGAAGAAAAGATAGTAAATAAGATAAGGGATCCACTTATTCATTTCTCCATCATTTGTTACAACTTATGGAGGGAGAAACCTGTTTCATATGTAAGAGCATATCATCTAATTTAGGTATTAAAAATGAGATTACGGTAATCTTATTAATCACTCGACTATCATCCATTAAGTGTAAGCAATAAAGGAATTGCAGAAGGACTCATAGCTTTTCAAATGAATCCTTTCTTAAGTAGTTCGTCTACTTTTCCTTCTAAGTTTAGCCTATTAAATAGCTTTGATCCTGTAATGTATTAGATTATGATGATCTAAGATACAAATCAATGTCCTATAACGTAGGCATATTGCTTGACAGTGCGTATATTTAATGCTCCTTAACAATACAATGTTCACCTTGCAAAATGTCGTTACGGTGCTTCTTTCATGCTTACAGGTCCTTTACGTTGGAGACCACATTTATGGAGACATTTTGCGCAGCAAGAAAGTACTAGGTAATATTTTTGTTGAATTTTCTTGTTGTAATCTTCGTTATTCAAAGCTCTGATGTACATTGTGAATAAATTTTTTAGCTTCACATTTTCTCAAGATGCCAAGTAATATGTCAACTCCTCCATTATCATACTTTGAAACAGAGTATGTTCAAGTAAAAGATACTTCAAAATTTTAACTTCTTAAGACCACTAACCCAAAATGATAATTATGAACTTTTATTTGTCAATAAAACAAATAATATTCGATTATTACAAACTTAATGAGTTAGGTATTTGCAATACTTCTATTATTCCTTAACAAAAAAATCATGAAAAAAACTCTGTAGTGCATAAGTAGCATTCAAATATCCAAACTGTAACAGGGATAGTTCTTTGAAGAAATTATGAGTATAAGTAGCATTCAACTTAATGTGGAGGAGTTAATAATATTTTTTATTTCATCGGTTAATCAATTAAACAAGATGAGTTGGATCTAACGTCATAAAGTTTTGGTTTTAATATTTCCAAAATTGGCTTTCTTCTCATAAACTTCTTATGCAAATTTTCTTTTGTCATGATTAATTCAATTGATTTATTCACCAAGTTAGGTTGGAGGACAATGCTTGTTGTTCCGGAGCTTGAGAAAGAGGTGGAACTCCTTTGGGACTCGAGGAAAACCCGAAAGGTTTGTTAAAAGAAATTGCCCTCCTCTGTTGTATGTATGCTTCTATGGTCTAATTTGTTTGCGCTCAAAATATAGTTTTAGAGATATCATAGCCAATTATATTGTATAACTAATATATCTTTTCTACTATCTCCACAGCTAATGAGTTGAGGTTTTGTTTGACTTGCTTAAATCTTATTATTTAGAATTTGAATAAAAACTAAGTTTAGTATTGGTCCATAAAGTATGATATATGGAGCTAGGGATGAAAATGAGCCGAGTCTTTAACAAGCTACTTATTGCTCGTCTCGACAAGTGCTCATTCATGTTCATTTGCTTAACTATTCAAACAAATTTGAACAATTTTATAAATAATATGTTGTTAAATGAATAAACAATTTATTGCTCAATTTATTTATGATCATGAACAATATCATTTAAGTGTCTTGAACAAACTTGTTAAGAAGCTCGATATAAAGCTTGATTGAGGCTCAATGTAAAGCTCAATTATGGCTTGATGTGAATGCTACTGCACACCACACATTTAACACTTAATAAATTAACTTGATTAAAATATTAAAATGAAATAATTTCTCTTATTTAAAGTGAAATACAAGAGCAACAACAAGCTTTTATCCTATTATGTGCGTTTGGCTACATGAATCTTTTTTCCCCATATGTTCTACTAAGAGTCAAATTTTTATTTAAATCTAATAAAATGTCATTTTTAATATTTTCTAATCAAGTCTTTTTAGTTCTATCTCTATCTTTCTTAATACAGGCCAAATTTAAAACATTTATTCACCTAACAAGGTCATCGAAAGGACGATGTTTTCTGTGACCAAACCATCTAAGGCGACTCTCTCTAATGTTATCTTCCACTATAGATACTCCAACCTTTTAACGTATATGCTCGTTTCACATTCTGTCTCTAAGTGTAAAACCACTCATCCACCTGAGCATCCATGTCTCTGTAACATTTAATTTTATGCTTAAACAAATATTATTTTACTAATTGGCCTAATTTCTTAATAAATACTTATTCTTACTTCAGTTTTTAAAATTAGACTCAACGTTTTAACAGGTGTTATATATATATATAAGCAATAATTAGAAACTATTTGCACGTTTCCAAGGCCTTTTAATTAAAAAATTCCCAAGGGTCTAAAGCTACTATATGTATAGTCGTACATATGTTGGAAGTATAAAGTAGTATTATTTATATGCTTTAAAGGGCAAAGTGTTAGCACTCAGCCTTGTTGCATGAGCTTGTGGCCTCTAGAGTTCTCCACCTATGTCTTCTTAAAGGATTTAACAAAATTTTAAGAATTTTTAACAACAACAACGACAATAATATCAAGCTTTTATCCCATTACATGGGGTCAGCTACATGAATCATTTTTCTCCATTGTGTCATATTAAGAGTCAAATTCTCTTATAAATTTAATTAAGAGAGGTCATTTCTAGTACTTTCTAGCCAAATTTTTTAGGTTTACACATCTTTTTTAACATAGGGCTGTTCTTGCATTGTCTCTAGAATTGTCAACTATTTATATTTTCCACTAGCACCAATATCATTATATTTCAATCCAAGAATGAATGTTGAAGATTGCTTGTCTTTATATTTTGGTTTTGCTTTTCTTTTGTTACCCCTTCTTTCCCTACAAAATATTAGTTAGACGGATTCCACTCCCGATTTTTTTCCTTAGATATTCATTATTTAGTAATAATTTTCCATAAGCTATCCTATCCCACTCATGATACTATGTCTGCAGATTTTGTTAGGTCCTTTTTTATGTTCTTATTAATATTTGTCTGATGCTCATTTTCTCCACTTGTTGAGAGGTTTTCTTTTCCTCCTTTTATTTAATTAGAAAGGCTTTTTTTTTTGCTTTGGGCTTGTTCTACTTATACTTCAATTTGGTTTTTATAGGTAGCTTGTGCTTGTAGCTGGGAATTTTGTTTCTAGGTTTACTAGAATATATTCATGCTTGACCGTGGTTTGTTTAGTTCTCTGCTATTCCTAGTTGCTTTGACCAAAATACAAAGCTGCTAATCAATTTTGAATTACATGATTGAGCTTTCAATTAGGTATTGTTTCTACACTCTGTAATTTGGTCAACATTAAATGGATAGCACACCAAACGTACAAACAGAGGGAACACCCATCTTCAATGAGCTCTCTAAAAATAATCACAACTTGCCAAAGTTCACTTGATTTTATGTTAAGCTGGTTTTAGTGCAAAGCTATGACTAAATTAGCAATACTCTTTCCTCGAGCATTATGTGAAAAGAAGATGATTTTAAGGTTCACCATCGAATATTGGAAAGCTTTTTGGCTTCCGTTGTAGATGAAGAAGACAGCGGATAGCATATTCCATTCATTCTGTAATGGAACATGCTACGCAAGCATTAGAAGGAAACTATATTTGTCATTTAACTAGGATCATGCCATCATTTTTTTCTTCTGTCATGCTTTGTCATTATCTCTATCTATTTTGGACAATTGAAGGGCTGTTCAATGCTTATATGTTTCTCAACATATTATCTCAGGAACTTCGAAGTTTGAGGAGAGAGAGAGATCTTATTGAAGATCAGATTCATCATTTGAATTGGTCTCTTAAGTAAGTTTCGTAATTGAAGTATTGTTTGCTAAAACGAGCATGTCTGTGCCTCTTCAATTCATATTTTGTTATCATTGTTCTTTGACATGGACATCAGAAATTCATGCCATTAGACAATGAGTAGACTTCTAGAGATTTTTTTCTTGAAGCATTAGATTGGCGCATCCTTGAAAAATCTACATGTTTTATTAGATAACAGGGGTTTCTGTTTCAAGTTGATCTAAATTTGAGTACATAATATAATCAAATTTTCCTGAAATAATATTTGATAATAAATTTTGCTAAAATAATAAATTTTTTTCTGATTATATGTTCCGCCAAACCAGTTCCAAAGAATTTAATTTGTAATAGTTAATTTGCTTTCTAAGTTTATACTTTTGTATAAATGAAATCTGGACTAGTTCTGGATGTTTCAGATTTCTTGTCTGTTGTGCTGGTTCTGTAGAATGGCTCTCCAAATTGTTCTGGACGATTGATCCACAGAAAATGCTCATCCTGTCCATTTAAAGTAATCAATAACTACCAAACACGAGATCCTGTAATGGAGAAAAAAAATATATATATACCATTTATGTATGTGTGTATAGTTCTTCCTGCTTGATTTTCTTGCAAATACTCTTGCATTATTGTTTAAGTAATATATGTTTTTTATCCTGAACAATCAATCATATCTTGACCAGGTTCGATGCCCTTGATGATCATGCACGTAATCAGCTTTCTTTTCAGAGAGAAAATCTCGAGGCAAGTAGAGGCTTACAGTTTAATAGCATAGGCTTTTGGTGACCGTATGACTAATTTTCTTTAGCTTAATTTGCTGCATTGACGTTCTGATCCTTATAAAGAAGGTCAAATAGGCTGCTAAGGAAACATGTGTAATGTTTGAACATAATTTTCAAAAATTTTCTGGTGTTATTCAACATGGACTTTGTGCTTTATATGAGATTGCCTAGAAATCTTTGATGGGTGCCTTCTGCGGCTTAAATTTCAGTTGTATTTGTTGATAGCCGTTTCATTATTATGCGAAAAACTATTTTGTTCTTAATTTTTATTGTATAGCTCCTTGTGCTTATACTTTATGCCTAAAACTACGTCTGCAGGAACTAGTAGGATTTACTAAATCCTGTAAATCCGGATTTAATTTACCTAGGCTCATAAATCCTAAAAGTGTTTGATATGAAAAATTTTAAATCCTGTTAAATCTCTAAAGTTGTTTGGCAACAGATTGTGACTGAGCGTTAAATCTAAATAGGAATGGGATTAGGATTTAGACGGATTTACCGGATTTATGCTGCAGATTTACGAATTTGCCGATTTACAATGGCGCTGATTGCGTTTGATTGGATTTACGCTAAATACTACTAAAAACGACGGACAAATCCGATACCAAACACCCCCTAAAACTTAACTGCATGTTCTTATAGATAGTTCCTGCTCTTGATTTGACTAATGACATAATCATGTTTTCACTTTAAGGTGTTTCTATGTTTATTAATTGCAGTCAGAAAGGGATCGTGTAAGGCATCAACATCAGAAAATCCAGAGAGAACGTCACCAGAATGTAAGTACAAATCTTACTCAATTTTGTTCTATCAAACTAGAGTTTATGAGAAGGGCTTAATGTTTAATCTGAGTAATAAGGCCTCTTTATCCTCATTCAGTTTCATCAGGTGTGGGGACAACTCATGAAGACAGGATACCAGAACTCTCGATTCGCGCATCAGGTTTATTATGCTCTCTACTATTGAATCATGCAAATTATTTTTCGGTTCATGTAGTTATATATATATATATCATCTGCAGGTTGAGAGGTTTGCGTGCTTGTATACGAGCCAAGTGACGAACTTGGGCTTGTATTCTCCTGACAAATACTACAGGCCAACTGAAGATTTCATGCCTCATGAGTTTGATATCCTTGAAGATTAATCACTTTTTTTTGCAGCAGTTGATAGTGATTGCCGTATCAGAAACTACAAAGTAAGCCTTCTTTTTCTGCCCCTACTTTCAGTGCATGGAAGCAGCTTCATCCCAATGCCCTGTTTTTTTTTTCCCCCTAAATGTAAACCTATCAGCTAAATAAATGTTGTCATGAAAATTTTGAATGGCAATTTCAAATTGCTTGAAATTGCTGGCATTACCATTGCTCGTAAGAAAATGCCTTGGGTGATTACTGGTTCTCTGTCTCATTCGACCCATTTGGCCTGATCAATCAATCACGACCAAAATCCTTTGAGCTACCATCCTTGCTTTGGCCCAAAGCTTTTGTTCTGTCAAGTAATGCCATTTTAGGTGTTAACGGAGGGGGAAATTATCAAATTATTGGGTTCGGACACCGGACATCATCCAGAGCCCAATAAAAATGCGCCACATCACCCTCTACTCCGCACTGTGAAGTATTGAACTCAGTGCCGAGCTTAGTATTACTCGGTATTGGATGACATGGCTATGCACCTGATTGGTCTCCAAACGGTAAGCTATGTCTGATGTCCGAACCCAATAATTCCTCCAACGGAGGCTTCATTTAAGCAGCAGTCTTTGATTTCGTTTGATACGACTTTCTTATTATTTTTTAAAATAGTTATTTAGTATAAAAAATTTTAGTTCAAAAAATTTCTTATTAAAAAGTTTGATTTAGAAAATAATTGTGCTGACATTGAATTTCAATTGAAGAGAATTATGTTTTTAAAATGACCTCAAAGTTCTAAATAAACCATTGTGGGCCCAACTCTCTACAAAAATATAAAAATCTTAAGCAAACAGATTATAAAAGTACTCTAGCAAAATTACCATCGTAACAACCTATTCAGCATATGCAATACTTTGTTGAAGGTGATAAATTTAAGTTAATTTTAAGTCACCAAGAGTTAATTTCATATCAAGCATATGAATTTATTCATTCACTAATGATCTCTTGCTATGATATATATATATATATATCATCTAACCAGATGATTTTATGCTAATTTATGATTACAATTGAAGTCCTTTAATCGAGTTTATATCATTTATTGTAATCATACTCATAGCCCAAAAAATCCCAATATCTTCTACTTTTTTGAAATATGTAATTTATAGGATACCAAATCCTCTATTAGCTTTCTTCACCTTCTAAATGAAGGATTACAATATCTGAAATTCATGTTAAATGAATCTTACCATCATTGAACTAAAGAATAAGAACATAAACATAGCATTCTTACTCGATTTTAATTATTCGTAGGGCTTCCTCTCATTAAAAAAAAATCTTAATCCACTAAAAAATAAACAGATAATACTTTTTATATATTCAAGCAAAATCTCTAAAGCATGTTGTAAATTTATCTTCTATTTATTCCCCTTTTTTAAGAAATAGAAAAAAAAAAAAATTTACCCATGAACTAAAACATAGAAGAGAAAATTAATCATAAAAAATTTTACTTACCGGACAAAAGTTTTAATTATTTTATTTGAATTTAATAATAATTTACAAAAGAGTTATTTTTAATATATATACCTAAAATATTCAATATAATAATTTTGATTATATATATTCCTAAAAGATTTATTTGTTTTTTTAATTCGTGAGCCATGACATAATAATATTTTTATAAGATTTATGAAAACATTATTTAGATTTATGAAAAATAGCGCGCCAGGTAGGGGTCGAACCTACGACTTTCTGCTTAGGAAACAGACGCTCTATCCACTGAGCTACAGGCGCCCAACTTGTCTTTCTTTTGCCTTAAAGTTTATTCATAAAATTTATTTGAAATTTATTTTATTTACAATATTAATAATAAATGCATATATTTGCTCTTGGATGGGAATTTAATGAACGAAATTAAAAGGATGTTAATATTTTAATACTTTATTATATTACATGTTATTAACGTATTGTTGTATTTCAATTAACAAATTGAGTATGATCAACTCAATAACCTGATGAGTGAAATTTTGGTTCAAAATTTCTGACCCATTTATAAAATGGTGTCTTAAATGGTGTCGAACTCGAATTAGCTGTATTAGGGCATCTCCAACCTAGAACTCTATTATTCACGACAAAATACAACAAAACTTCAAAATGTCGTAATTCTGCTCCAATCGAACTCAATTTTAAGTGCTTCTGCGAAGATAACTATACTTCTCCCCTTTCGCTCGTTTCTTCGGCAAATCCAATTGAGAGAGCGAAATTGCGTAGGTGAACAATGCAACGTTAATATTGACGTCACACTGTTCACCCACAGATAAATAGCTAAAAATTTGATGTTTGGCTGGAGCGACCAAACGAAGCCATACGCACTTTTGGCATTGGGTTGGAAATGCTCTAATTAGACCCGCGTCACTTCTGATTTCTGAATTGGACCCTCACCCAACCTGAATGCTCATTTTGACATCCTTCTACGTGGGCTGATCCTTCCTTAGCTCCCTGCCTCCGGCGCCGAACCCTCGCCTCACCGCCGCGTCTCCTTACAGCTTGTTTCCTCGAGCCTCTTCTTCCTCCTCCAAAACAACGAAGGTTAGATCTGCCGGCCGGAATCCTTAAAAAATAAATAAATGATCTGTACTAATTGGCACTTCTAATTCGAACTTTAATGAAATTATAGTAAACGTGTTGCTTAGAGTATTTACTGGTCATATGATCATTTTTTTTAATAAATTTTTTTGTTTTGATTTGCTATTTCTACTTACAGGACGCCTGTTACTCCAACTGAAGTGTAATGAATGGGTGCTCCTTAAATTTTATCCGCAAACGAGTCTCAGTATTAGCACCCAGTGCCCATAACTTGATCCTCAAAAACTCCTCACTATCAGCTTTTAACGTCGTAGATACCCCTGAAGCTCACAAAATTTCTTCTGGGCATTTGGCGAGCCGGTTTCTTCTAATTCTGAGGTCTCTTCGCGACCCGTCCGATCTGCAAAAAGGTCGCCAGGTTCATGCCCAGGTTGTCTCAAACGGACTTTTTGATGATAATCTCCTTGGAAGCACTGTTCTAGGTATGTATGTACTGTGCAGAAGCATTTCTGACGCGAAGTCTTTGTTTTTCTGCATGGAAAAAGATTCAACTTTGCTCTGGAATTGGATGATTCGTGGATTCTCCATGATGTGTATGTTTGAGTTCAGTTTATTGTTCTATTTCAAGATGCTTTGTGCCGGAATCTTCCCGGATAAATATACATTTCCTTACGTGATTAAGTCCTGTTGTGGCTTATCGGCCATTGGTTTGGGTAATCACATTCATAAGATGATTTGTCAGGTGGGAATGGAGAAGGATGTTTTCGTGGGAAGCTCTTTGATAAAGATGCATGCGGATAACGGCTATATTGAAGAGGCAAGGAAGGTGTTTGATCGAATGCCTGAAAGAGATTGTGTATTGTGGAATGTGATGATGGATGGATATGTTAGAGTTGGGGATGCTAACAATGCTTTGGAGATCTTCGAATGGATGATGAGCTCGGGAAGTAGGCCTAATTATGTAACATTTTCTTGTGTTTTGTCTCTTTGTGCTTCACAAGCAATATTGAGTTATGGTACTCTGATTCATGGCCTCGCATTGAAATATGGCCTGGATTTAGAGATTTCAGTAGCAAACACATTGTTAGCAATGTACTCCAAATTTAGATGTTTGAGTGATGTGAATATGTTGTTCAATATGATGCCAAAAGCTGATTTAGTGACTTGGAATGGAATGATTTCTGGATTTGTTCAGAATGGTTTAAGGGATGAGGCCTTAGAATTGTTCTATAAGATGCAAGATGCCGGTATTAAACCGGATTCAATCACACTTGCAAGTTTTCTTCCATCCTTCTCGGATTCCGCCAATCTAAAGCAAGGCAAGGAGATCCATGCTTATATTCTAAGGAATAATGTGTGCTTGGACTTGTTCTTGAAGAGTGCACTGATAGATATATATTGCAAGTGCAAAGAAGTTGGGCTGGCAAACAAGGTTTTTAACATGACTGGAACAATGGATGTAGCTATATGTAGTGCAATGATATCTGGCTATATTCTTAATGGGTTGAGTAGCGATGCTTTACTAATGTTCAGGAGGTTGCTGAAGGCTGAAATTAAGCCCAATGCCATCACTTTGGCTAGTATTTTACCTGCTTGTGCATGCCTTACTGCTTTAACTTTAGGGAAAGAATTACATGGTTATGTTCTTAAGAATTCATTTGAAGGAAGATGTTATGTGGCAAGTTCTCTGATCGATATGTATGCAAAATGCGGCAGATTAGATATTGCCCATCAAATTTTCAGAAAGATTTCTGAGAAAGATACTGTGGCATGGAACTCCATGATTGCCAACTTCAATCAAAATGGGCAACCAGAGGAGGTATTCAATCTTTTCTGTCAGATGAGTTCTGAAGGAATCAAATATGATGCAGTAACCATATCCTCCATGCTATCTGCTTGTGCAAGTTTACCTGCACTGAATTATGGGAAGGAGATCCATGGCTTCATGATCAGAGGTGCTTTCACTACAGATTTGTATGCTGAGAGTTGCTTGATAGATATGTATGCCAAATGTGGGGAGCTAAATATTGCCCGTTGTGTTTTCGATTCGATGATCGAGAAGAACGAGGTATCATGGAACAGCATCATTGCAGCTTATGGTGCTCATGGCTTACTTAACGATGCAGTGAGCTTGTTCCAAGAGATGGAGAAAGGAGGATATCTGCCAGACCATATTACTTTCCTCACTTTGATATCTGCTTGCAGTCACACTGGTCAGATTGAAGAGGGGTTCCAGTTCTTCAGCCGCATGAAGGACTATGGAATTGTTGCAAGAAATGAACATTATTCCTGCATGGTAGATCTGTATGCCCGGGCTGGGAAATTACATGAGGCTTTCCAGTTCATATCAAACATGCCATGGAAGCCCGATGCGGGGATTTGGGGGGCATTGCTTGGAGCTTGTCAAGTGCATCGCAATCCCGAGCTCGCTGAGCTTGCTTCCAAGCACCTTTTTGAGCTGGATCCTCAAAATTCTGGGTACTATATTTTGATGTCAAATGTTCATGCAGTGACTGGGCAATGGGCAGGGGTTGTTAAAGTTCGGAGCTTGATGAAGGAGAGGAATGTGCAGAAGTTGCCAGGTTGTAGCTGGTTTGAAATTAACAACACCACTCATATGTTTGTTTCAGGAGGAGGTAAATCTCACCCAGACTTTCAGAGCATTCATTTTTTGCTCAAGTTGTTGATTTTTGAGCTAAAAGAGGCTGGCTATGTTCCCAATCCTGACTGCATGTATCAACTGGATACTTACTCCAGGAAACAGTTGAGCATTTGAGTGTTTAGGAAATAGAGAGAGAAAAAGAGAGAGAGAAGATTTATTTATAGATTTAAGAAGAAACACAACCTATTTTATTAGAATATATGAAGAATGCACTTGCAACATCAACTATATTTTCACGTAGGTTTCATTTGGGACGGTTTTCTTACTGCTTCGTAAAGCAGTTTTCTGGTGCAAAAATTATTGTACTAAAAAGCTGTTTTACGAAGCAGTAAGAAAACCATCCCAAACGAAATCTTAGTTAATGAAATATATAATTTTGAAGTATTAAAAGTTACGAACGAGTCTAAAAGAGTTGATAGATCTTTACCTGTGCTTTGGTCATGCCCTACATGCAAGTTGAGTATTATGTACGATGATGGGGAGGTTTGGTTGGCTATCGCTAAGTCAAATAAGGCTATCGTGCTTAATTCAAATTCTTCAATTTAGAGCTCAAATATGCATACAACAACAACAATATCAAACTTTTTGGCCCAGAGTTGGCAACACCATCGTTACCAGGTTCCAATACTTGCATGAAAAAAGTGAAGGATTGCATTAGGTAATCAACAACTAATGTAAAATTTGTTGAGCAATCATGATATGGCCCAAATGTGCATGAATTTTATAAATTTTTATATCATAATCACCTTAGTAATATGCCCATTTTTAGGGGCGAATCTGCTATATGCCCAGGGAGGACAATTGTATATTATATATTTATATACACATATATATATTAACATAGGTGTATGCAATATAGATATATTTGTATATTATATATTTATAATGGACATATATGACTGAAATGGTTTATGGGTAATCCAATTCATAAGTTCAATAAAAAAAATTGCCTATACATTATATAATTTATATATATAGCATTTAAAATTTTCTAGTTATTTATATAATATATTTTAGCGTCTAAATCATGCATGAAAAAATATATTTTATTTCAAGTTAGTCAATATTAATGATATTTTTATGCATTTTAAATATTTAATTCTTTTATAACAAAATATAATGATTTAGATAATCTGCATATTTTATTCTATAAAAATTTTTAAAGAGGAGAAAAGATCAAAACGGTCCCATGGTCTAGTGGTTAGGACATTGGACTCTGAATCCAGTAACCCGAGTTCAAATCTCGGTGGGACCTTTTTTTTATTTTGCCTTTTTTTTTTAACGCCCCCACTTAATTTTATCTTTTTTTTGTATTTATTAAAATAAAGTTATGAAGAATAATTAAGGAGGGCTCAATTTTTCTAATAAAATTATATATAATATGCTTTATGCGTAATTTAAAATCATAATTAAATTTAAATATGAAAAGAAATCTTATATCTTAATTAACTTTTTATAATAATTCCGAGTTCAAATCTCGGTGGGATTTTTTTTTTTTTTTTTTTTTTTTTTTTTTTACTACATTGGTTTACATTAGGGCTGCAAGTGAACCAAACGTTCGATGAACTACTCGTTGTTCGGTTCGATTAAAGCTCGTTCGTGATCGTTTAATTAACTAACAAACACACTTGAACAATATTTTAAATACTCGATTCTTAAATAAACAAGCTTGAACACTAATGCGTTCAGCTCGTTTATGTTCGCGAACAACATCAGTTGATGTTCATGAACAAGCTCGATAAAAAGCTCGATTCGAGTTCGATTAAATATAAAAACTTTAATTATACCATAATATAATATAATTATTTTTTATTAATAAATTTTAAAGTAATAAAATATTATAACATATGTTCATATAAATTAATCATATTTTCATTTTAAATATACAACTGCTTTTATTTTAGAAATTTCATTTCATGAACAAGAAATATTTCATATTTTTCCATGTTTGTTAGATTGTTTGTTTAGAATGTTCATGAACAAATTTAATATTTGCTTGTTCAATAGATTGTTTGCGAGATATGTTCACGAACATAGCTCGTTTAAAGCTCGATAAGCACTAAACAAACGAACATGAACCAAACATGAACACCCTTAAATTAAATGAACCAAACATGAACACAAATAATAAAGTTCGAATCAAACACGAACCAAACATGAACAAGCTAATGTTAAACAAACACAAACATGAACACTCACATACTCGGCTCGGCTCGGTTCGTTTGCAGCCCTAGACCCAATATGTCTACTAGTTGCATCATTGGTGTGCTTGACGCCAGTCATGAGGAGCTAGTATATAAATATCCACCTTACCATTGATGAATCAATGCCAACTCATGATTTCCCCTTAGCTAGCCACATGGACTAGCAATAACCTTTCAATTTGGTCTTGACTATGTTAGGCCTCTATAACACCATTGGTGATCAACCCCTTTTTCTATAGCTATCATTATATTAGCAAGCGTATGGCTTCCTTGGCATTTATAAGTCTCATTCCTTCTTTTGTCAATATGGAGAATGCATAAAGAGGGAAACAAAATAGTCAATCAACTTATTGGTTGAGGTATAAAAGATAGATAGATAGTTAGGTAGAGAGAGAGAGAGTGAAAGAGAGTGAGAGATTAAACCTCCCAACTAGCTAGCTCTTTTTTTTAAACCAATCTCACCATTTGAGTGACTCAGCCTCCCACATAGGATGCATCTTTATAAATAGTATAATATTGTATAATGTACTTTCATTCTTTCAATGTTATGGATGTAGGCTCTAATATTGAACCATGTATTATGTGTTCCCTGTGTGGAATGTCATCACATAAGAAACATCTTGCTCCTTCATTACTCTCATGGAAAATAGGGCATCACAACCTGATTGATTGATAATCAAAGTGATCTTTTCACCTCTCAGATGATTGATTGATGACCGACGAAAGTCAAAAACCTGATAGCGGACATAATCCGGCGTCGGGTAGAAATATGGCGACGAGCGAAGGTCCGTCGTTGGGTAGAAGTCAGAATTCAGACGGCGGCCGGGGAGAACTCCGGCATTATTTGGAGATCTGGCAGAGTTTCGGCGTCACTTGGAAGTCAGGCGGAACTCCGACCTCACTTGGGCAAAATTCTGGCGCCGGACATAACTTCGGCGGTGGTCGAGGAGGAGTTTCTTCCCTCCAATCATTTTCTTCTTCTTTTATTCTTCTTGTTTCTTTCCCCTCTCAAGAGAAATAAGGGGTCTATTTATAGTTTTTTGAGGATGACATGACTCGTAAATAGGAAGAGGATCAAGGACAAATGTGGAGTGGTTTGGACGGACGACCAATATTGAATCCCTTTATCGCGGACCGTTCGTCGGACATTTGAAGGTCTTAATGATATTGGAATTCAGCGATCTTGGGCTCGTTTAATTCAGACTCATTTGGGCTGAGATTGAGTTGAATTTGGTGTCATTGGGTTTGTATTTTCGAGACGCTCGGTTTGACTGTAAGTTTCCTGAAATTGGAGTTCAGGAGATCCCTGATTTAATTTTTGAAGTTTCTGGCTTGATTTTTGCCTTGAGATTCGTGCCCGATCTAGATAATTTTTTTTATGATATATCAATATATAAATTTGATCTACGTGAAATTTGGTCATAAAATTTAATTTTAAACTTTTTATAAACTAATCTAAGGCTTCGTTTGAGATAAATTTGTTACTTCGTAAAATAAATTTCTAGTATACAAATTTCTTGAATTAGAAATTTTTTTACTAAAAACTAGTTTTAGAAAGAATTAAGAAAATTGTCCAAAATGAAGTCTAATACTCCTATATAAAAAAAGTGTCCAACACAAAAATAAAAAAAATAATTTAGTGGGCCAATAATTAGCATCTTAATGAAAAAAAAGAAGAAGAATTGATCATATTTTGTTCTTTATTTTTTATCATAACTTTTTTTTTGGCCCGTATAAAATTGATCTAAATGAAATTCAAAAATAAAAGTTGAGCAAAAACTTCAAATTAATTATGAACTAAACTAACACACTCCTATTTCTCATCATAGCTTCAAAACAAAAATACATATATAGTTTTTTTTTTTTGAATTTTATTAAAAAAAAAGAGATTACAAAATACAAGGATTGTAAGATAAACAAGAAAAATTTACAATACTTCAAAAGAAAAATAAAAAAGAACTAGACTTCAACTAAAATCCATTAATCAGGACCCAAAAAATAATTATGACAAATGTCAAAGCCAAAATACAATTAAAAAAAAAAACTTGAAGTAAATTGGGCCTAAGCAAAAACTGGTTTAAATTAGGAATAAAAAACAAAAGATTGGAAAAAGAAAAATCACATTCAAAGAACAAGTGAGAATGGGACACTAAATAAGAATTACATAAAACACAATTTAAGGAATATTAATATTCCTTTTAAAAAGGATATCCACCGTCTTAAGACCGTTTAAAACGGCCATCCAACTATAACAAAAATATCTCAAAGCATAGTGAAGAGCATCACGAATAGGGATCCCGAGACCCCCAAAATATTTAGGCGTACAAACCTTCTTCCAAGCAATAACATGTAACTTCTTAGAGTTAATATTGCCATAAAAAAGAAGGTTAGAGCAAACTTTTCTAATTAATTTAAAACAAAATTTAGGAATAATCATACTTATAATCCAATAAGCAATGTAATTAGAAATAGAGAATTTTAGAAACTACACTCTACCAGCAAAGAAAAAAAGTTTAGCCTTTCATCCATATCAGTAATCTTATTTAGTAAAGGTTGAAAGTAAGAACCATAAAGCCTTTTGATAGAAATAAGAATAATCCCCAAATATTTCAAATTTGACAAAGCTCTTCTATATCAAGAGAATTAGTAGAGAATAAAGCAAGACTTTTACAAAAATACAGGGGTGTCAATTCGGGTCAACAGGTCGGGTTCGGGTCGAATCTAGAACTCACCCGACACTGTTCGGGTGAACCAAAACCCTACCCATTTTTTAAAAACGGGTCAGGTTTTCGGACCCGAACTCGACCCGATTAGGGTACGGGTCAACCCGACCATACACGAATGACCCGAAGTTGACCTAAAATTGCTAGCTTTCGGGTAAAAAATCAGATCAATCTTCAATTTTCGGGTCAAAATCGGGTGAAACCGGGTCAATCTCGGGTTTCTGAGTCAAATAGGAATTTTCATGTCAATTTCGGGTCATTTTTTAGTCAATTTCAGGTTGCTGGGTCAACCCGAATATGACCCGATTTTTAAAACGGGTTCATTTGTTGAACTCGAACCCGACCCATTTTGGGTCCGATTGACCCTAACCCGAATTTTTCCAGGTCGAATTCGGGTTGTGTTTTGGGTCGTGTCAAAAATTGACACCCCTAAAAATGAACAATTATTACGTCATATGACCGGACGTAGAGCTACGTTCGGCCGCCAATAACATGTCGCCACATGCTCTTACTCTTTACCGCGTGGCCCGACGACTTGACCTGGAGCGGAAACCAGGAATGCTATGTTCGTGATTTTCTCGGTATTGCTCGGTATTTGCTAGGTATTGCTTTGCAAAAATGAGAAATACCGCTCTGTGAAGACCAATACCATGCAAATACCGAGTTGTACCGATTTTTTTTACAACTCGGTACAACTCAGTATTTGCTCGATATTGCTAGGGATTTGCTCGATTTTGCTAGAAAAAACTCGGTACAACTCGGTATTTGCTCGGTATTGCTAGGTATTTGCTCGGTATTGGTTATTGCCGAGCAAAATCGGCCAATACCCAGCAATACCGAGCAATCTTGGGTCTGTTCCGGGTCGGGTTGTCGGGTGCGCGATAAATAATGAAAACGCGTGGCGCGATTCTACTGGCGGCCGAACGTAGAGTTGCGTACGTTCACCGGACCAAATAAAAGTTCCCTAAAAATACATACATAGTTTTTTTTTTTTGGGAAAAAAATACATACATAGTGACCCGGCTAGTCCGGCCCGCCCGTACGAGTTCCTTGGCGGCTTGGCCTCATTTTGATCAACGTGCGAGGCCGATCCAAACCCACGAGTCGGGTAGTGTTGCACGTGCAATGCCCGCGATTTCCGGCTCTGTCACCCGCAACTAAGCGACCAACCGGATTTTACCAATAAAGCGGCTCAGGCCTGCAACCCCAAAATCTTCCTCACGCGGATTCGATCGCAATCGGAACCCTACTCTCCGATCTACTGAATTGCTCTTCCTTCTCTTCATACATCGAACGTAATCGGGTCAGATCTACGGGTGATCATTGCCGGAATCCTTGTCGCGTCATCTTGCCTGGAGTAGGTAGATCTCTTTGTTCGATTGTTTTCCAGACTTCTTGCTATAGATCGGTTGTTTAGACCGAGGCCTTTGGGCAATTGAACTACGATTCGAAAGTTTTTTTGCCGTTGTGCTTGAAGGTCGTTTGGTTGATGGAGGCTAACGTCTAGATTGATCTATGAATAAGTTGGTTTATAAAGCATTTAACCATTAAGTTAATAGAGTTTTGATTAATTGTTGCTGAGAAATGTGTTCGATGCATGCTTGTGCTTGTGTTAGATTTACCGGTTTACTGGCTGGGAATTCTCGTGTAAATTTTTTGTTTGTTGTTCGTGGTTACAGAGATTTGTGAGATCAGTTTTCTTACTTATCTTAAAACTTAGGGAGAAAGTCTACTGCATTTTATTTTTTAATAATTTTCAGACCTAGTTCATTGCAAGTATGTGGAGGAGTTACTGCCGATCAATAGATAAAATCGTATAATTGCGGTTACTTTAAATTGAAGAAAGATTTTATTTTTTTCTTACAAGTTGATGGATCTGGTAAGGATTCTTCTTGCATATTTAACATTTTCGACTTTTTGTATGTTTTGTTTTGCATTACTCGGGGAAATATACGCAGGGTATATTTGGTCAGAGGTACTCCAGAATTGCCACAACAGTCGCTGTCGTGTTGTGGGCATGAATTTTCTGGGTGCTTACAGTAGGGATACTTTTCCTCTTGCAGCCACCCAAAGGCATCTTTTCAGTGGCATTCTTGTTGGAGCTTGTGGAAAAGTCCCTTTGGAAGTCAACAAGAGACCATAGCCTTCTTATCTTGGCGAGTTTTCTGTTTGAATTGGTATTTTAAGTTTCATCCAAACTGAAATTGCTTACAACCTGCATCCCTCATGCTTGGACATTCAAGTAATTTAGATAGTTTTCTGTCCAAAACAGATCTGATCAAATTAGATCATGTTGAGTGCTTATTCATATCAATCCATTCATGTCTCCTTTGCTACATTTGGAAGCTAGCACAAGAGCTACTGGGACCTTTTTTCATGAGTTTGTTATTTGAATGGCTCTTTTTGGCTCCATCCATATTGAAACTGTTGCAACCTATATCACTAACATTTTATCATTCATAATGATTTAGATAGATGTGGCCATTCATGATTGTTCTAATCAAATGGGATCATATATGTAGTGTACACGTTGGCGACTTGGCGCTTAACTTAACAAGAATTGAACCTTCTAGTGCTCCACAAACCATCAAAACTGGTAACAATAAATTTGGAGCCTGGTGTTGATGAATGTAAGCTGGCATTAGGTTTATTGAATTCTAGCAAACCATGGAAATATTTTCCCATGTCAAGGATGTATTAATGGTGTTTATACGTCTTATTTAAATCTATAGCATATTTCAACACTTTTGGCTATCATGTGGCTCTAGTTAATTCTAGTGCTCCACAAACCATCAAAACTACTAACGCTAAATTAGGAGTCAGGTGTTGATGAAGCTAAGCAAACATTAGGCTTATTGAATTCTAACAAATTATAGAAGTCTTTTCCCGCGTCAATGACTAATGTCCTAGTTGAATCTATAGTTTATTTGAATACTTGTGGCTATCTTTTGGGCCTAGTTGGATTTGACTTTTGTGAACTATTGTCATTTATTTTTAAAATATTTGTCTATGTTAAGCCATTGTTGTGGCTTGCACATCATAAGTTTTAATTTGGAGCTGTAAATTTTTAGCCTTATGTGTTTCCAAAATTAAAAAAAAAGAAAAAAAGCTGCGGACTTTGGTTTTGAGTTGATGGTGGCATGCAGTTATTAGGAAAACTTTTTGCCATGGTTTTTGTGTGGGCATGTGGTGGATCCTTAGGATAGGATGTTTGCAATTCAGTTGCTTGAAAATTTTATATTCAATTTGGTACTACTTGGCTATTTTGGGGGAATTTAAAATTAAATTGGGATTAATTTAAATTTAAATTGGATATGATTCTGTACCAACCTGGTCTATTAATCTAGGTTATGAAGAGTTTATAAAAGTGATCTATGGCATGTAATTAAAAACCTTTGGCTTAAATATTATTTTTGTTTAAAATCTTATGAATGTAAGTTGGATATTTGATTTCTTTTGAATGCAATCGAAGTGTGACTGTTTAATTCCCATTGAATTCATCTTTTTACACAGCATGAAACCTATTTTTTAAAATTTAGTAAGTTCATTCATTGTTTACTTTCATATATATAGTTCACCGTTGTCTTGTTTAATGCTCTTAATTATAATTAAAAATTGACATATTAATAATTAAATTTGTTGAAATTATTTCGATTTGCTTAATGATTTTATTTATTTCCAATTTCATAATGATTTTTTTAATATTTTCAATCATTTCAGCAATAACTAGTATTAAATTCTAGTATCATATACTTTTATTTAAAGAAGGTCATATACTTTAATTTATATTTGCATGTGAGCATAATACCTTTCATGTTTGTTGCGCATTAGGAAAACTCTAACCCTGAGACATGTTTTGCATGAAGTTGGTATCAAAACTTTAGGTTGTGTTAACATGCTACTCAAAGTAGGGCTAATTATTAGGGTAACTTAATGTTGGAATTTTAACAAATATGTGCAATCAGTTGGTTAAATTGTTGAAAAAGTGAAATCAATTCATTTGAATGTTTATGATATTAATTGGATGAACAAATGATCTTCAAGCCTGCATGCTTATAGTCAAATCGAGCACTTAAAAAGGCAAATCTAATAAGCTTAAGATTACTTAATTTTGACATCATTAAGGTACCTAAATGTTGAATGAACGATCTATTATCAAAGGAATCAATACATGCTATATGAAGGAGTGGTTTGGGCACATAAAACGGCGGCCTTCCGATGACCTGCTTAGGAAAGTAAATGCATTAGATTTGACTTATGTTAAGAAAGGTAGAGGTAGGCCTAAAAAGACTTGGTTATAAAATATTAGAAATGACCTTTCTTTAATAGATTTAAATGAGAATTTGACTTTTCAGAGGATACAATAGAGAAAAATGATTCATGTAGCGGATCCCACATGGTGGGATAAATGCTTGATGTTGTTGTTATTGTTTTGTATACAGGGCATGCTATTCTAAAAAGTCTGTAAATATTTTCCCACTCTCTACATGAGAATGGACGAGAATTTGGAGTTTGGCTTGAGATTCAAAAGAGCTCAGAGGCTCTAAAAATTATGGTGCTCCACTTGAGCATCATTATTGGACTATCGTTGGGCCATTATCATCGGAGCAGCACTTGGCTGTCGTCATTGGACCATCACCTAACAGTCTCCTTTGGGCCACACCCAATTATTGCTCTCAAACCAACCCCCCCCCCCCCCCCCCCCCCCCCCCCCCCCCCAAAATCACTGTCGATGAAGCACTACCCAACCACTGCCATCTGACTACCCCCCAAATGTCAACGGGAGAACACCATCCAACCTTCGACCACCGTCACCCAACTACAATCATCTGACCAATGCCACTTGATGCAGGATTAGGTATGATTTAAATGAATGTGTTAAGAACTTGCACGTTTTTTAATAAAAGCAATAAGAGTTAAAACATTAGCTACTTAGCGATAATAGAAAACCAAAAGAGAGGTGACTCCGCTTAGGCCAAATCACACGCTAAAAGCTAAGATCACCAAAACATTTAGAATTTTAACATATGCAAATTAAGTAGATTTTTAATAACATCCCTAGGTTAACAATGAGATTAGAAAGCATAGAAAATCAAACTCATGTCCTACGTTTACTAAGCATTGGCAGATAGTTTTGCACGACTCTTGTGCTTGAATCACAACCTACAAGAGAATAATATTAGGAGAAAATTGAAGAGGAAAAGTTCAGCCTCGTCGTGGGATGGTGGTGATTTGCCATTGAACGGTGGAAAGCTGTTCTTCGATGGCTTCGGACAAGGTGAAGATGATAAGATCCAGGTACTCGACAGAATTGTCTCTTTCCGGGTTGACGTTGAAGAAAGGCGACCGGGGGATGTCGACAAGTTCTTGTTCGTTGTAGACGAAACCAGAGTCAAGATCGGGATCGGCCATGCATCGATTTCATAGGGTTGAAGTGTTGTAGATAATGTCCTTTGCTCTCCTTAAAGATTCCCCTTGAGAGAAAGAAATTTCTCTCAAGAATTCAAGAGGGAAAGAAGGGTGAGAGGTGGCCGGCCAAAGGTGGGAGCTTGGGAAAGGAATTGGTTCATATTTTGGAGAGCAAGGATGGAGGGAAATTTGGGAATTTGTTTCCTTATTTAATTTTTAAGTTTGGAAAGAATTAAAAGGGCAAGAGGTGAGAGGGAGGGGCGGGTAAGAGAGAGGGAGGAGTTTTGAATTCTTCCCAAAAATAGAGGTTTGCAATTTGGAAAGAAATCAAATGGGGTAATGAAGGGGGGCCGGCGGCATAGAGAGAGAGAGGGGCCGGCGGTTTCAATAGGGGAGAGGAAATTGGGGAAAGGCAATCAAGAGTTGCTTGTTTTGGAATTAGGAATTTGGAAAGCTTTAATTAAACCCAATTGAATTTAAATTTAAATAGAATTTAATTTTAGAAACTTTCATAAAATAGAATTTGTATTTTATGTAACAAATTCAAATTCAAATAGATTTGAATTGTGAATTTAATTGGGTTACCTAAAATATAAAGACCTAGTTATGAAGGGTTTAATTGCAACCATTAATGGGGAAATTCCAAGGGGGGGTCGGCGGCTAGGGTTGGTTGGCCGCCGGCTTGTTGAGAGGGAGATGGGGGTTGGTTGGGAGATGGGGAGTCAAGAGGAGAAAAATACATGTTCTGCATGAAGTTGGTATCAAAACTTTAGGTTGTGTTAACATGCTACTCAAAGTTGAAGGCTTATGGTTGGCCGGCGATGGGGGTTTGTGGAGGTTGCCGACGGTTTAGGGCTTTAGGTGGGTCGTGGGGATGGAGGGGAAGGGAGGGAGAAAGAGGAAAATAAATAAGATGAAAATAGGCACGAACTCGGACTCTTCCAAGGTTGGTGGGTGATCCGCTTCCCTCTCCAAGGGATTTCTCTTCAAAATCTCTCAAGCTCTCACAAGAACTCAATATGCAGAAATTTGATTATAATTCATTCATTAAACTCAAAAGAAACATAAGGGGGCTATATACAATAAACGGGAAAATAAAAGACGACTTCGCCCTTAGGGCTTACACATGACAAACCCTTAAGTAAGGGGTAAAAAAAGAAATACAACTAAAACAAATACATAAAGCAAAGAAATAAAACAAATACATATGAGGACTCAAAAATAGATCGATGCGATCGTGGCCGTAGATCGACGACCACGCCTATGATATACTTTCCATGATCTGATGTCCCCATCACCACTAGACTACAGTCATCCAACCGGTGTCGCCTAACTACGGTCATCAGACCAACGTCACCTAATTATGGTCATCCTACTAACGTCACCTGACTATAGTCCTCTGACCTCCATCATCTGACTACAGTCTTTCAACCACATTTAGTAAATTGCAATCCCCCAATCATTGTCTTTCAACTACGTCCCTTGACCACATTCGCCTAGCTACGATCCCCAACCACCATCGCCCGTCTATAATCTTTCAACCTTGTTGCTTGACTACAGTCCCCCGACTTTCTATCATCATTACCTAATTGCGATCCTTCCACCATCCCCCAATTACAATCCTTTGACAATCGTCTCCCGATTACAATCCTCTGACCACCATCACCTGCCTATAATTCTCCTCCTATTGTCATCGTCCGACTACAGTCCTTCGATCACTGTTGCCCGACTATGACCCTCCCTTCGACCTCTGTTATCCGACTATCATCCTTTATTGCCCGACCACCATCTTCTGACCTCCATTGATGATGTAGGCAAGGCTTGATAATTTTATAATTACTTTTGCTTCCTTGTTAGCAATATGAGTATTTAATTTTAGATGGCTGTTGGAGTCCTCTAGGCTATTTTGAAGTGTGTTCCTTATACAATATTTGGATTCTTTTTGCTGGCATTTGGTTTCCCAAGGATTTCGATTGGTTGTTCATGCTCTCTATGCAAATTTTGTTGACTGTTCATGTTCCCCATGCAGATTTTGGTGGGCTGTTCATGTTCTCCATACAATTTTTGTTTTCTTATGCTGGCTGTTTTTTCCAAGTTGCTGCCCCCTTTTTTCCTGATGTTGTTTTGATATTTTAGGTGTATTAACTCAATAAAAGGGCTAACTTGTGAGGCATATATTGGTTATTTTGGATGACACATTTATGTTTTTGTTGGGTCATTTTCCTCCTATATAAGGAGCTATTTTTTTTTCTGCAATAGAGTATTATGTGATGATTTTTGGAATGTAACCTGCGGGTTTTATTCTAGCTTGCGAGCTAGCCTCCTTTCTTATTTCCCTCTACTATTTCGTCTCGATTTTTTACCTCTTATTCTCTATCAACGGTTCCCGTCTCATCTATATCTTTTTTCTCTTAAATTATTGTAAGTCTTAAGTTGTGTCGTTTCTTATTCTAATATAATTTGTAAGTGGTTTCTATTAGAAGTTGAAATCTTTATTGTGTTTTATTTGTCATATTGAAAGGAAGGTCTTTTTTATTGCAATTCTAGTTGGTGTTTTTTCTTTTGCATACCGAGTGTTCTCTTACTTGGCTTAGGATTCCTAGGTTGCACCAATTTGATATCAGAGCTTTGATTTTCTGTGAGTCTTCATTTCTTTTTCTTTAGAAAAAAAGGACAATCATCTACAAGCCGAAGTTTTAAGTTATGATGAAAAGGAGTCTCAAGATAAATATGATCATGTAAATTTGGCGTGTCTGTCTTCCCTCAAGGGGGTCAGCTTCCCTCCTTCTTGCTTTCCTCCCTTCGGAAAACCCCGATCCGCCCACCAACGAGGCCCCATGTGGCAATCCTTGTGGAAAACACTCTTCAATTCATCGCCATCTTCCTGAATATCCTTTCCTTGTGGTTACACCCTAGGAATTGTCGGTGATGCTTTCAATTGGATCTCAAGCATTTTCTTCACCATCTCTTCAAAGTTCCCAAAGCAGTTCTCGATGGTTGAGAGTCTTCCCTCCACCTCAGAATATTTTCCCCTACTCAGGCCTTTAGTTGCTCCATCTCGTCCTCCAATGCCTCCATCTTCTTTACTGCCATTAATTGGATCTAGGCTCCAATTCCAAAAACAACGAAGTTAACTTGTTTTTTCGTCCGAGAAAGCACTCTAATACTAATTTGATAGGAAATACTTGCAGAAATTGAAAGAATATTGACTAAAATTTTGAATTTCAGCAAGATAAAATATAAATCAAGAGAAATTTGGTAGCAAAACACTAGGAAAACTTGATAATTGATGAAAGAGGGAAGAAAACAAATAAGATACAATGTATCTTTAATTTGAGAGGAAGATCCGGCTCTCCTATTCCTTAGCAGGCGGCTAGAGCCCAAACAAACTCTAAGAGAAATACCCTAACCCTTACCCTTTCCCTCATATTTAGAGAATACAAGTATAATGATAATTACTAAACAGCTCATCCCAAAATTTATTCCCTCCTAAAACGCCCCCTCATTTTTAAATTTGCATTCAAATCATGGGCCCCACAAGGGGGCCGGTGGCTTGCTTGTTTCGCCTTGAATACACCAAGGGCCGGCCTTGGTGTTGGACTGGCTAGACCGATTAATGGAGTGCATCACTCGTCAAAGCAATTTAGCTTGGTTTGTTGCGCTTACTGCACCTAAGACTAATAATATTACAAACAATAAGGATAATAAAAGGAAGTTGAATGTATTTGCATTTGGGTCTAAGATTTCTTTCAAAGCATGTTTTAAGTGTTATCAAATTAATCATTATGCTAGTGAGTGTCTAAGTAAAATCTTTGAATAAATTTTGGGGAACAAGATAAGATAAATGATTTTGATGATGTTTATTAGTTTGATGAGAAAATAATGAGGATGTTTTGATAGTTCTTGAATATCATGTGTTGCATCATTGGAAGATAACTACAAATTTTTAAACCTATTTGAGACTTGAGAAGAAGCTTTCCAAGAAGTTTATAATTGATAGTGTTTGATAGATTTTGTGTCTAGATTGTCTTAAATCACATGAATTTAAAGCTTAAACCACATCCACAACCATATAAGATAGTTTAGTTTGATAAATTTTCTATTTCTGTGTTATAGGTGTGTTTTTTTTTTTTCAATTAGCTACCAATAGTGATAGAATAGGATGTGGCGTGTTACACATGAACATTGCTCATTTTATTTTGTGTAAACTTTGATTGTATGATTTAGATGTTACTCATATAGGGAGTTCTAACAAATATACTTTTGAAACTAATGGGAGAATGTTATTTTTGACATCTGCAAAGCTTAAGAGTAAATCTTAATTTATATAAGTTCCTAGTACTTCCAATGAAACGAAAAAGTCTACAGATTTTTAGTAAACATGCATTTGAAAAAAAGAATAGGTAGGAAAGTGTGATACACGCATTGATATCTGCTGAGTTGAATAATTTAGTGCCTAAAATTGTGGCTTTACTCGATAATGTTAATCAAATGTTGATTGATCAAAAAAAATATTTGCCTGGTAAGGTTCCCAATGAATTATCACTAATGTGGAATAGACATCATATTATTGATTTAATTCCTTCGTCAATATTGTCTAATTTATCTCATTATAAGATGAATCCCATAGCATGTGCTAAACTTAAGTGATAGGTTAATAAACTATTTAACCAGAGAGTTATTGGGAAAAACATGAGTCATTGCGTGTTTTATTCATACCTAAAAAAGATGATAGTTGAAGAATTTGTATAGATAATAGAGTCACCAATAGGAGTTGCAGTCACCCATGATCGCACCAGTTGCCAGCATGATAATGTTTGAGATCATTGGCGGTGATGGATGTTGGCTGCAACATCTGTTGATACTTGCCCATGCGATGACGGGTGGTGTTAGTTGTTTTTAAAAAACATTTATAAATCTTAAAAGTTATTTTGAGTTTTTTTTTTTTTAAATAATAGGGATTATTTTTAAAAATAAATATAATTAAGCAACACAATAAACATACATGTTTTTTTAAGAAACAAAACAAATTGTATGCGAAATAGGCCCTAAGTTTTGCAGTCTAGCTTCTTTTTCTCTCTTTTGATATTATGCGGGAACAGCTTGACCTTAAAGGCTTAATGATTAAGGAGTAATTCTTGATTTTTAGATTTTTCATGCCATCTGAAAAGAATATTTCAGATTTTGAAAAATTTTCTCAGGTGTGCCACATTAAAATGAAAGGCATGCTGTGCTCTTAATGAAAATTTTAAGTAGTTTAATTCATCGCGAGAAAGTGTTTAATTTTAAGTACTGAGGAAGATTAGATCTTGGGTTCTCCTTTCTATGTGAAATATACCTCTTAATCTTTCTTATTTAATACCCTATCTTTATCTTTCTTTTCTTGACAACCATGTTTTAAATTCCTTTTGTTTTCTATTATTTTGTTACTTCGGAGTGACATGAATATTCCTTAAACCGCCTAAATGAAAATTTATGGTAGTTTGCTTTCCTGGTAAGCTCTGATTCTACAGTATTGAGTGGCACTTCCAAATTCTGTCAAATATACTAGTGAGTCTGCCTTCCTAAGGAATTGCTTTGGTTATAAGAATCTTAAATAAGGATGAAATGGTGACAACCACATTCATCACCTGCAGAAAATTTTTGATTTATAGATAGATTGGAGCTCTTGTTTTATTGCCTCATTTTTCTTAAGGTCTCACTTCTATGGTTGATGTAACACAATGAAGTTTCTAAATGAACTATTTTAAAGTGTCTGCATCATTTATTTTTTAAGATATTTATATGATTTTCTGTTTTCTTGCAATAAATGTAATCATTCATGCAGTTCGCATGCCTGTCATATGCTAGCTATTCTTCTGAAACTTGTGAGTGATATTTTGAATCCTGTTTAGCATTTCATGTCAATTGTTGTGTGAAAGCGCAGATCCTTATACCTGCTGCATTGTGGGACTTATACCTTGGACTATAAGATGTCAGGCTTGAGGGATGCTGATGCTGATGTGGTTGAAAATCAGGATATTTCCATGCCATCAGCTCAGGATGAGGTAATTTTCTACTGAACGAACTGTTTGTTTTGTCACTTGAAAGCTGTTATTAATAGTTTTTTGGGATATTGACATTAGGCAAGGAGCAATTTCTGTTTCTCATTTTTTTGTTTTAATTTTTTTATGTTAGATTTTAAGTAAAACCTAACACTATTGGTAAAAGTAGCAAAAACAGTCCACAACTCCAATAGAAAACAGCCAAAATAGTAATTTTATTACAAGAAATCAAATAGAACGGAAAGTAAATACCAAGATACAATTGATCCTCTATTCGAGAGGAGGATCTATCTCTCCCAAATCTCTAGACGCCGCTAGAGCCCAAAATCCTATACCTAAGAGATCTCAAATTCAGCCAAATTCAAGATGTCCTAATCCTAGGAAAACCACCTATTTAAAGAAAACAATAAACATTAAATGCCCAAACAGCCCTCCCCCAATTCCCTCTTTCCTTGATTATTTCCCTCTAAATCAGCCCCCAAATCTTCAATTAGGAAACATATGTTAATTAATTTCCTTTGATTAAGAATCTTTCTAAATAGTTTCTTCTTGATTAGGAACTTCTTAATTCCCTCACAATCAAATCAGCTGATCCATCAGATACATAGGAGCTAGTTTAAATAGAAATGGATTTTTAAAGCATTGGAACTGATCTCATTATTTTAATCTTTTGTAGGAAGAGGCAGTTAAAAAGAAGTATGGAGGAATTGTGCCCAAAAAGCCTCCGCTCATCTCAAAGGTGGTTAACTTTTTCAGTCATTGATAACGATTTATTTCATTTTACTTCCCTGTTGTGATAGCTTTTTGAGCCGTAAAGATGTTACAGAAGTTTTGATTGTCATTTCTATTCCTCAAAATAATTATTTCCTGCAGGACCATGAGCGGGCTTTCTTTGATTCTGCTGACTGGGCGTTAGGAAAGGTTCTGGATGAATCTAGATTGATTTTGTCTCTAATTCTTGGCATGGCTGTTTAATGATTCATATCAGAGAAAAATATATACTAATTATAGTTTTCACTTGGTACCTCACAGCAAGGAGGGGTAAGCAAACCAAAAGGACCGCTTGAGGCACTGAGGCCAAAACTGCAGGTATTTGTAGTATCCCTTACATCTTATTTTAAATGCTTCTGTGATAATAATATTATTTTTTATTGCCTCTCCGTCTTGTATTTATGTAGTGTGAAACTTTCTTTATCATTATCTTTTTATGTTTGAATCACTTTGGTACTTGGATGCATTAATGCTAATTACAGAATTTTCCCAAAAAAAAAAGCTAATTACAGAAGACTACACTGAAGTTTTATATAGCAAAGATAAGATGACGTTGGGGATTCTTTGTTTTGTCTTTGCTCTCTTGTTTATGGTGTGTGTGTGAAACATACACCATAAAATATATGCTATAAAGATGTTATGATACAAACCCATTGTAGGGATACAAACATCATATTTAAGTTCATCTGCAACTACAGAAATGTGGTGGGGGAAAGAAGGTTCTATTTCCTTCTACTGGAGACTGTTTATAGAAATGCAAGACACCTGATCCACCCATTATATTTTATTGACTTGAAAATGTTCCATAAGAAATTTATGCTGGAAAAGAAAAAAGGAAAATTGCAATGGAAATCTTTATGCTCCTTGCTGTTCTATGTTTCTCATTGGCGTTGGAGGGAAAATTTAAAATAGGAGTTGTTTAGGGATTAATGATTTATCTTTTTGGGGGCAGGGCGGAAGCAGGGATGGGGCCCACGCACTAATGAAACTTTGGGTTGGAGGGAAAATTCAAATTAGGAGTTGTTTAGGGATTAATGATTTTGTCCTTATGGGGGCGGGGCAGAAGCAGGGATGGGGCCCACGCACTAATTAAACTTTGGGTTGGAGAGAAAATTCAAATTAGGGACTGTTTATGGATTAATGATTTGTCCTTTTGCTTTAATTAATTTCTTCTTGTTAGGGTTAGGGTTAGGGTTATCTTGAATTTGAAATCTCAATTTGAGATCTTTGCTTGGGTTTTGAGCTCTAGACTTTGACAAGAGAATTGGAGAGCTAAATCTTGCTCTCAAATTAAAGATTCATTGTATCGGTTGTTCTTTTTCTTCTATTACTGAATTTCAAGTGCTTTTCTTCCGAGAAATTCAGCAGTTTTCTCTGATTTCGGTGACTATTTTCTATCATTGTCACATGAAGATCAAACATTCATGTTTCCATTTTCTTTTGGTTTTGCAGCCCACACCTCACCAGCAATCACGCTCAAGGAAATCTGTTTATGCATCCACTGATAGTGAAGGTATCAATTTTGTCATCTAATTTTCAATGATCAAATTTATGTCCTTATATCCATTTATATCAATTTTGTGACATAAATGAATGAATTGTTCCTCTTTTCTTTTACATATTTGGTTTCTTTATTTTTGTTTTAGATGGGGGGAATGCTACTGCTGTTGCAGAGGAGGACACCAACAGCAGCAGCCAATAAACATTCTGAGAGCTATTTATTTTTGGTAGCTTTCATATATTTTCCCAGTCATGGCGATTGTGCTGATTTTGAATCTTCCCTGAATAATTGTTGAACCTTCTTCAGCTTTATTTTTACTGCGACTGTACCTCTTCCCGGCATGCCCATTTGTTCTGTGCTTGGAAACTTTCTTCATTGGGGTTTTGTTGTTCTAAAGAAAATTTCTGCTCCACTTGGAATATATATGAATTGGTTATCAATCGTATGAAGGAATTACTTATTACCATTATTTCATTTATATAGTGAAACTTAGGAAGGGAATAAATATGAGAAATTATTTATTCAAATTTCTTTATAGAATAAAATTTCGCATGCAGCATTTCTATCCATGTGTGTTATGTAAGCATGCTAAATGATTATTTTATTAAATTTCAAGAAAATTAACACACATAACGTATCTGTAAGACCTCTTGGTTAGAAGCTTAGGTTTCGTTTGGGATAAGAAACTCAAACTGTAATTATAGCTTTTGTTTGGTAAATTTCAAAGAAATTATGCTAGGAAGCTGCTTCCCACAATAAATTTATAACCGTTTTTATGAAAGGTGTAACTGTTCCAAACAGACCTTTAGGCTCCCAAGCACCATTCAACATGGGCCTATAGAACAACAACAACAACAACATCAAACATTTATCCTACTACGTGGGGTTGACCACATGAATTTTTTTTATCTATTGTGTTAGGTTAAAAGTCAATCTTATTTAAATCTAATAAAAAAAAATATTTCTAATATTCTTAACAAATTCTTTTTAGGTCTATCTCTATCTTTCTTAACATAATTCAAATATAATACCTTTACTTTCTTAATCGGGTCATTTGATGGTCACCATTTTATGTGACCAAACAAATTAAGATGACTCTCTATAATCTTATCTTCCATTGGAGCTACTCAAACATTTTCATGCATATGCTCATTTCGTATCCTATATCTAAGGGTAAAGCCACTCATCCACCTGAGCATCCTCATCTCTGCAACACTCAACTTAGTATTATGCTTCTCTTTTAATGTTCAATATTCGGCACCATAAATCATTGCAGGTCTCACTACCATCTTATAGAATTTTTTATTAAGCTTGAGGGGGATTTTTCTATAACACAACAAGCCCCATTCAGCATGGACCTATGATATCTCTCAAGTCATGTGACATTCACCATTTAGAACAAGACAATTGTCGTCGCCTCCATCTACATCCTCGATTGTCTTGCATTGTTATCACCAATAATTCAATAAAAAGTTGTAGTCAGCTCAAATAGACCTTTGGTCTAATCGAATGACAATGAAATTGAAATGCCTAAAATTTTTAAATTGATAGTTGATTGCACTGAAAAGTGTGATTTTTTCTAGTACAATAACCCTAAGATTCATATCCCTTAAAATTTAGATTTTTATAGTTTTCAAAATAAATTTAATGATTTTTAATATGAAGATGCAATCGTAAATTAAAATTATTTTAATTGCTAAGAAGCTGTTATATAAATTATCAATTTATTATTTATATGCTTCTCATTAAAAAAAAAATAATGCAGGTTAACTCATTTATTTAATAAATGGATCAAATATAATACTATAGAAATATTATAATACTAAAAATGTATAACGGAGAAATTATTCCGTGCGGAGTGCGGATGGGAATAAATATATACTGTGTGTATACATATATTTAGACGGTTGTTCATGTCTGAACTCCGTACGAAATAATTTTTCCTATAATGATAGTGTTATAAGTTAGAGAGGAATTAATAATAATTTTTTCTCATATAAAACGGTGGAGTCATATAAAATGCTTAGCGATGGTTTTTGGGTAAATATTTATAATAAAAAAGTTATTATAATATAAAGTAAATAATTAAATAAAAAAAATTCTCAATCTGTTTGTCGGCACATCGGGTGGGCCCCGCGCCCAAACCCGGCCGGGAAAGAAGCACCGTTACTGGTGGGCCCGGACTCGTCGACAGCCAATAAGAGGCCGACCCATTCATGCCTTGGAGGCGCAAGCAGCCACGAAAGGAACATGTGGGTCGTTAAGTTGAGCCCACGAAAGTCCCACCAACTATCTACTTTACTTTTGGGCCTTTCTTGTGATGGACAATAAAAGCCTAATTACATTAGTGGGCCCCATTGGCCAACTGGGCTGGGCAGCGAGGTCCCCCACCACTCGTTGGCTTCCCTCTTTTATAGGGAGCGAATTTGCACAGTTCGTATATAGAGAAATGATGGCAAAGCTCAAAAGACATAATCATATTGTTTTAGAGAACAAATAGTATAAGCATATGCGTTTCTTCAACTTCCTAACAGATTGTCTCTGATGAAATCTCCTAAAGCTATAACATTTGAACTTTTTTATTAAAATTTGTAAGTAATAATGTTAGTGTCTATTGTATATCTATACTACTATATAAGTGTTTAGGGTTTAGTGTTAGTGTCAATACATGGAGAGAGAGAGAGAGAGAGTTTATATCTTCACCATGATCTCTCTCTCTCTCTCTCTCGTGCATCCATCTGTCAGGTGAGTGCCGGATTGGTACTTATTTATTTGAGCAGCCGCAACAGCCCTTTTTTTAATATATCTTACTATGACTATCACTGCTTCTTGATTAAATTAATGCATGTTATGTCTTAGCATTTTTTTTGGTTAAAACTCACTGTGGGGCCTACGCATTAATATCAAAAATAATGTTACAAGGTCCTTAAAAGGAACCTCCAGCTTTCTAATGCTCAAAAGAGCTACAAAATAAAACAAAATAAAACCTAAAAGCCGGTGGTTCCTTGTACTAATCATTACAAAATTACCTAAAAACATACTAGGGCTGCAAGAGCACATCACACAAAAAAGGAATCTCAAGGGATAACAATTCATCATGTAATTCCTGCAAAAAGAGATAAGCGAACCGTAGAGAGCAAAATTGTCCTGAGTGTCCGAAGAAAGATAATCGATGAGCTTCCACCCAAGAAACTTACAAACTAAAAGAGTTAGATACCATTTAAAAAAGACCAAGATAATACCAAAAACCCAAACCAAAATAGTAAACCAACCGCCACCATAACTCTTAATTTTAGACAAGGTTTGGACATGCAGCCACCATAGAATCTCACTGACTAGATTATACCCAACGAAAATCCCCCACTGAATCTGGATCAGACGGTGATAAATGCCCAGACTATCAAAATTCTCCAGCAGATAAGGTAAATAGCCTCTTGGAAAATAACCCCAATAACCAGATGAAATACCCATCCCGTATTGATCCCAACAAGCAAAGCAATTATAAGCAATACCCATCCAATTTAATAAAAGAACCCCCTCCGTCTCAGTAGATAGCTGAAAGGAAAGACCCCAAACCAAAATAGCATCCCAGAATTTAGGATACCACATGTGGCCCCAAACAAAAGACCAAAACATCTTAACCTGAATGGTTGAATAAAAAAAAAACAGAGATACTACCCAAAATCTGCCAGCACAGACAGGAAAAAACATAAATCATTATCGGCTCCATATACATAACAAGAAAGTGATGAAGCAGAATACTAAAGAAATTCTGCCACTTAAACAAATGCCAGCTAATTTTTATTAACCTCACATCAGGGATACGCCAACCAGCCAAAAGAAAAGAAGTGTCAAACATTACGAAAGTAAGGTAAACCAGCTTTATCCAAATTTATCATACCTTTCAAGATAGGGTTTAATCTCCAAATATCCAACTCTTCATAATTTTGCATAGAACAACCCTTTTTAGCTAACAAATTCGCATAGACATTATCTTCCCGGTAAATGTGAGTTATATAAAAATTGACAGATGTAAGAGAACTCTTAATTTTCCTAATAAGATAAAAGTTTTGAGGATTACCAAGGACAACATTGTTAATGATTTGAATAAGAAGCATAGCATCCACCTCAATCCACACAAAGGTAATACCCATTTTGATATATATATCCAAGCCATAATGTAAAGCCATCAGCACAGCCAAAATCGCATTAGAAACCTGTAAAAGGGCAGTGTACGCAGCAAGTACACACCCCAATTGATCCCTAATAATACCCCCAGCACCAGCACAATTAGGTCCAACATACCCATCCGAATTGAGTTTCACATAAGGTGGTTTGGGTTTAATCCACTTAACAATTTTATCAATTGAATTGATAGTCCCATCGTTCACAGGAATACCAAAAGCAATGACCATATTCGTACATTTTTTAAAATTCTTCACAGTAATAAGATTATAAGAATAAAGTTACAAAATTTTGTGTATAACATTTGAAATAATTTGGGAAGCATCAATATTGATATCATTGTGCTTAGCATCACAAATATACCAAATAATAAGAGTATGGATCATATTAAAAATATGACCTTTAGAAACATTCATCCAAAGCTCAAGAATTGAAATAACATTATTATGTTGAGAGTTAAAAATTTTATTGGCAAGACTACTAAAATAAGACCACACTTTCTGGGCAATGAAACCATTCACAAAAAGATGATCAATACTATCCACATTTGAGCAACAGAAGCATTTGGAAGGGATATAGAAACCTTTTTTTTTTAGCATTAAATCAACCGGAAGATAACCTTTAATACTTCTCCAAACAAGAATAGAATAAGAGAGAAAAATTTTTATGCCAAAAAGCTGAAAAATATGCGATTTTTCCTTTTTGATCCTAAACATCTTTCAACTGAAATTTACCATATGAAGAAAAAGTGAAAAGCATTTTATCTTTGCATTGACCCTATAACGGAATTTTCAAAACAGTCTCCACAATATCAGGAGGAATCACCTCCCTAAGCTTTGTGACATTCCAGTAATTATTAGTAATAAAACTAAAGACTTTAACATTATCAATAGAATGTGTATTAAGTAAAACATCAATAGAAGAAGATCCCAACCAGTTATCTTGCTAGAAAAAAACATCACCTTTTCCCAACCCCCATTGAATAAACTGTTCTGCTTCCCATTTTATGTTGCAAAGTCTTTTCCATACCATAGAATCAGCATTTTTGTAAAAACATAAAGTCGGATGCATGTTAATGCAGTACTTAGCATTCATATAGCGAGCCCATAAACTGATATTAATTCTAAAAGAAAACCACAATTTATGAGAGAAAGCTTTAGCAATATCACTTAAAGTTTTGCAACCAAAACCACCTTCGTTCAAAACACCACAGATCTTCTCCTAAGTACACCAACGAATACCATTGCTATTGAACTTAGAACCCTAAAAGAATTTGTTTAT